TGTGTCAGAACATTATAGCTTATATATTTGTGTAGGCTATAGTGGGGTATCCCATAGGGGGTACAACCCAATCAGGGTTTCCTATATGTACTCACTTCATTCCTAGTTCATTCATTCTCGTTCTAGTTTCTTTCACATTTCATGCACGAAGGCTGGATATCATATCCATAAGAACCTCATTTCACATTCTCGATCCATTGTCACTCCGCAAACATGCAGAGGCAAGACGCCATGAGGTGTTAGACAACGACGATCCGTACGAATTCGCCGTCACAGACAAGACCGTCACGCAAATGCGCGGGCGGCTACGCGCAACCCTTGCATGTTGGATCTCGTGGTGCCCAAGTAGCCTCATCTTCTCGGTCATCGCCAACGGCTATTGGCTACTATGGAGCCAAAACCCTCCACAACCGTTTCACGAGCGCAACCATCTCGGGGCGCACACACACGCGGCATTCACACGCACTGCAATTCGCGAACTGACGGAGACCGGAGTGGCGGTAGCTACCCAAGCAGCGGAACTCACATGTATAAGCCCACTCAATGTGGTCGAGCAATGTGACAAGTGCAGGCTTATTCTCGACCTCCGGAAAGTGAACGCGCACCTGATAATCCCCAGATTCAAATACGAAGGACTGAGCCGCGTTGCTGACCTTGCACGCATAGGAGACTGGATGTTCTCCATCGACCTCAAAACTGGATACCATCACATCGACATACACCACTCTTGCTGGAAATTCCTCGGCTTCGAATTCGAGGGGAGCACGTACTCTTTTCGCTCATTGCCATTCGGCCTCGCGACAGCACCATTTGTCTTCACATAACTCATCAAACAACTAGCCACGCGCTGGCATGAAAAAGGCATTTGAGTGGTACCATATGTGGACGACATCCTTTTTTTATGCACGTCCAAGGCACAGGCACAAGCAACGTGCCAGATGATAATCTTGGACCTCAAGATGGCGGGCCTGGTGATCAACGCGAAAAAGCCGCAGCTGTCACCATCACAACACCTGCGATTCTTGGGCGTCGAGCTGGATACCGACTCCGGACAATTCTCCATTGGCACCGATCGACGAGCATCATTTCATGCACACATTCTCAATCTACTGAGCACAAGCAAAGCACGTTGACAAGTTCCAGTCCACCACCTGGCTAGAATCACTGGCACGCTCGCGTCAATGGCTGTTGCGTTAGGGGCCACGACGCGCGCATTCAGCCACGCCATGCTACAAGGGATCAACGACGCGCCATCTTGGGGAAGTAGTGTGAGCATTTCCCCACCTGTGGCCGAGGAGCTGCAATTATGGCTCGAGGAGTTTGACAGATTCAATGGCGCACCATTCCACGTCCGGAATAGTTACGACGCAGTAATCCACATGGACGCCAGTTCCCACAGTTGGGGTACCACTCTGCTTTCCTTCCCGGGCGAACTCGAAGAAGCCAGTGCAGCCATGCCAGATGCACTGCACGCAACGTCCAGCACCCGACGGGAAATCGAAGGTGTCCTTTGGGCCCTCCAAACGTACGGGAACAAGATCTAACAAAAACACGTGCTCGTGAGGGTGGACAAGCAAGGGGTTTTCTTCATCCTTCGCAAAGGCGGTTCCGGCACCCCCGACCTGACCAGCGTCTGCAAGGACATCATTCGCACCTGCATGGAGCTCGGCACTCGACTAATCGTCGAATGGATCCCGCGCGAGCTTAACTCCCATGCTGACGATCTGTCGAAACTAATCGACCATGACGATTACTCATTGAAGCAACCATGGTTCCGAATCCTTGATCGCCATTGGGGACCCCCACTCAATCGATCTCTTCGCGAACTATCGAAACTCGCATATGCCACGATTTTGCTCAAAGATCTCCCACCCTGAGGCTACTGCGGTTGATGCATTCTCATGCTCATGGGCAACCGAGAATGGCTTCGCGTTCCCACCACCCCAGCTGATCCCAGCAGTCATCCACCACACACAACGCACCCACGCATCATTCACCCTAATTGCCCCACACTGGACGGGGGCAAACTGGTGGCCACTCCTACAACCCTCCCCACCAAACTGGGCCCCGCACATCAGAGCGCACATTCCCCTGACGCACGGCAGCCAATGCCTAGCAGTAGGAACGCACCGCACTGCCTTTTCAGGCACAGGACTGCCGCATAGCACAATCATTGCACTACGAGTGGTCTTCAACTAACCCACCCCATATGCCTTTGTGCAGACGTGTTGCCAAAACTACAAGTCCAGCTTCTAAAGATGCTCTCACAATCTCGGGCCGATTCAATGATCCGAACATACGAGTCATACTGGGTCAAGTTTCGAGCCTTTTGTGCAAAGGTGAACCTCCCATTCCTCCCCACGGCGGACATGACCCTCGCACTGTACCTGGTGTACGCTATCCAGCACAAAGCCACCTTGTCCATGGTACAACTCACATGCTCAGCCGTGAGCTTTGCACACCGCATGACCGGGAGCATATGCCCAACAACCGGACCATTCACCACCCAAGTACGCGACTTCGCAAAAAGACACTGCCCTCGCCCCACGCGAGTGAAGGAGCCTGTCTCGCTGCAACAAGTCCACGACATGTCTGCCAGCTACCTGCAATCCGACAACCCCGGGGAGTTCCAAAAAGGGCTAATCCCCATCCTCATGTACACCGGATGTTTTAGATATTCGGACCTCATCGTCATCGAGTGGCAAGACATTCAGTTCGAGAACGAGGTCATGTGGATTTTAATTCCGTACTCCAAGACGGACCAAGCTGGAAGGGGCACATGGATACCCATCGCTGCAACTCATGATCCCTTTTGCCCCGAATGCTGCACCCGACGACTCATCCAGCTCGCGGGATACGACCGGTAGCCGGCAGGGCCACATATTCGAATCTTTGGACGCGGTTCACCCCAAAGTGGCCAAGCAAGGCCGCCATCATACCCGTCAGAATATCATCATTGTCTAGTCTGCAGTGGGGTACTCTTTTGTGAGTTCAACCCAAATTAGGGTTTGCTATATGTACTGCCCTACTTACTAGTGAACCTCTCCTTTTCTCATTTCTGTTCCTGCCTGCTCATTCTGACACGACGATCCGAAACTGGTGCAAAGAAGCGTTCGGGAAGATCGGATTAGGGGAACAGCAGGCTGGTACTCACTCCTTTCGCAAAAGAGCAGCCGCTGCTGCGGCAAACACAAGTGTGCCAGACAGAATCTTCAAACGACTGGGCAGATGGCGCAGCGACACAGCGAAGGAGGTGTACGTCACGCCCAACGCCGAACATCTCGTCAATGCCTCCCGTCAGTTGCAAGATCTGACATACGCCCCTTCTTCAGCGCAGCACGCGAGGCACTCGTCCGTCATCGAAAGCCTCCGCTGCCCATGTCTCAGAGACCCCAGTTGAAATGAGAACGATGCCAAATGATAAGTATAAGAAAGCAAGCTTTCTAAATATGATAATTCTTAAACACACAAAGTGTTTTTTTTAATTACGTATTTTGAAAGCGCAACTGCCTGTAACGCAGATTTGGCATCGTCGAAGCGCGCTATACGCCCTTCTCCAACTACAAATCGTGGGTTGGAGCTCATTTCCCTCCACCCACGTCTCTCATTTTTCAAATGGCTCATGCAACTCTCCCACCCCCCGCCCCAACACCGAGGACATCAGTGCCGCCGCTTGAACAGGAGGACAGATAGTTAATACTATGATTGGTAGTACGCACGTATAATGCGTGATAGCTAGTACAATGATTGAGAGGTAGTAACATGACATGTACTAGCACCTATATTGTCTAGCTCGAGTGCATGTTGTAATTTGCCAGTTGAAATGAGAACGATGTCAGATGATAAGTAAAAGAAAGCAAGCTTTCTAAATTTGAAACGTCAGCCCTGGAACGACGGTATCGTTCCAGCTCTTTTGCCTTGTACAATGGTGGTGGTAACATGTACAGTATTGCAACATTACGGTACATACCGGTACTGGTCCCTGAAAACATGCGTTATTCTTGTTAGCAATATTTTGTTATCTTCATGAGCTAATCAGGAACAACGATCCTACGGCAAATCTTTACTCCACTGCACACCCTGTCAACGTAAAACTCGTTTCCCACAGCTGTTTTCTACTCTCTGCTTACCCCCCTGGGGTGGGGTGGGGACCAATTCCAACCTCAGAACCTCCACTTCTAGTAAAGCCCCCCTTTTCCAAATCAGTCATTGAAGCCTCCACTGTGCGTTTCCACCAAAGCCCCCACCCGACCCACATCAAAACATAGCACACGCTTCACTCAGCCCCACCAGCCCCTGCCCATAACCCACCCAACCCACCCTCAGGCTGCACTCCACCCACCCATACCCACACACTCACCCCTGCCTCCAGGCTGCATCCATGTTGCATCGCTCCAGCAGCAATTACAGTACTATAATTTCATTGTGTACACCCACAGAGCCACTGTATCATACATGCACCAGTCCATAAAAACAACAGTCAGTCTGACGGACGACGCGCCTCCCCTTCCCCCCCCCTTCTTCCCCACCCTCCCCCCACCCTTCTCCATCCTTCTCCCTTTTCCTCCCCCCCTCCCCTGCTCCCTCTCCCCTTTCTCCACCCCTCTCACTCCATCGCCTCAGCAGCTGCATAGACTCATCATACACCCACTGGTGTATCACATCGGCTGCCCCTCTTCTGTCACCCCTCTGTGCCTCCCTACCAGCTCCATACCCCACACGACGCCTCCCTCCCACTTGCACCTCTCTCACTCATCCCCTCAGCAGCTGCATAGACCCATCATACACCCACTGGTGTGATTTTTAAGGCGCCTAAAAAATCACCTCAAAAGCTGTATAGACGCATCATACAACCCACTGGCGTGGTGCTTCACGTCAACCGCCCCGCTCCTGTCACCCCTGTGTGGCTGCATGCTGATCTCTCCCTGTACCACACCTCCCCTTCCGCACCTCTCCCCTCCTCTTCTAACTCACTCCCCCCCCTCCCCCCCATGTATTCATCATTTCAACGGCTCCATAGATTCATCATACACTGACCGATGTGTCATCACATCGGCTGCCCCTCTCCTGTCATTCCTCCAGCTGCCCCTCACCACCTCACTCTCCTCCTCCTCATCCTCCTCATCCTCCCCATCCCCTCGGAACATGTTCTCGCTCTCCTCCCCAGTCGGGCTTGTGATGGGGGACAGAGAGGGAGAGCTCTGCATGCGTCTAAGCGACTTGCGCTGCTGCTGTTGCTGCTGCTGCAGCTGTTGCTGCTGGGGATGGGAGGGCACGTGTGAGTGGGACGGCGAGCGCGAGTGTGACTGTAAAGGGGGTCGGTCGGCAGAGTGCAGCGGAGGGGTGGTGCCACTGCTGCTGGATTTCCTCACGGCGCGGGGGACAGGCGGAGGTGAGCTGGAGACGACCTGAAGTGGAAGAGAAGGAGGGGAGGGGCAGAAAGCGGTGAGGGGAAGACAGAGGGGGGTGGTGGTGCTGCTGCTGGATTTCCTCACGGCGCGGGGGACAGGCAGAGGTGAGCTGGAGGCAACCTGCAAGGAAATAGAGGGATGGTCGAGAGTGGCAGGGCAAGGAAATGAGATAAAGCGAGAATTAGATAAAGGGGTGGTGCCGCGCTGCTGGATTTCTTTACGGCTCGTGGGACGGGCAGAGGTGAGCTGGAGACGACCAGGAGGGGGAAGAGGGGGGAGGGGCAACAATAAGTGAGGGGAGGCCAGAGGGGTGGTGCCACTGCTGCTAGATTTCTTTACAGCTCGTGGGACGGGCTGAGGTGAGCTGGAGACGACTTGAAGGGGAAATGAAGGGAGAGGGGAGGGGCAACAACAGGTGAGAGGAAAAATGAGTGGTGGCGCAAACACTGCTCAAGTTGGAGGGGAATAGAGGGAGGGAAGTGCAGCAGCAGGTAAGTAATACGGGGCTAAATGGCTGGAAAGAGGACGGGAAAGTGTTGACCCAAAAAAGAAAGGCCCAAGTATTCACCTGACACAAAGCCATTCATCCATCTCACCTGCGACAGCCATTCATCCATCTCACCTGCGACAGCCATTCATCCATCTCACCTGCGACAGCCATTCGTCCATCTCACCTGCGACAGCCATTCATCCATCTCACCTGCGACAGCCATTCGTCCATCTCACCTGCGACAGCCATTCGTCCATCTCACCTGCGACAGCCATTCGTCCATCTCACCTGCGACAGCCATTCGTCCATCTCACCTGCGACAGTCATTCGTCCATCTCACCTGCGACAGTCATTCATCCATCTCACCTGCGACAGCCATTCATCCATCTCACCTGCGACAGCCATTCGTCCATCTCACCTGCGACAGCCATTCGTCCATCTCACCTGCGACAGCCATTCGTCCATCTCACCTGCGACAGCCATTCGTCCATCTCACCTGCGACAGTCATTCGTCCATCTCACCTGCGACAGCCATTCATCCATCTCACCTGCGACAGCCATTCATCCATCTTGGGGTTACTGGCCCTCTCAATCCACATGCGCATGTCCTGTGCTGCCCGCTGCTCCGACCCCGTCCTGGGCTGCCTGCCCCCACCAGCACTCAGCGACCCCGGGTCCATGCTCGTGCTGCGCCACAGGGGGGACATAGACTGCGCCCTCTGCACCCCTCCTCCCCCTAACCCTCCCCCTCCCCCGACACTCCCCCCGCGGCCCAGGATTTTCCCAGCAGTGCCGCCCATGCGATTAGAAAGTTCTCCGCTTGTGCGCGGGCGGCTGCCTGTGAGAGATCGCATGGCTTCCATCGGGGACCCCGGCGAGGATTTTCTTTGCTGCCCGTCTGACCCAGCGGCGCTTCTTTCCTGCCCGCTGTCTGCTGCAGCCACAGAGGAAGCTCTGCCGCTCTCTCGCTGTTCCGCCAACGGGCTTCTACTGCTGCCATTGCCACTGCTGCCGCTGTAGGGGCTGCTGCTGTTGACCCGCCGGAGACTACCAGGAGTGCCCAGAGGCCCACCCCTGGATGCGTTCACAGGAGCGGGGTTGCCTGGCCCAGACCCCCCACCCCTGCCTGCCCCGTAGCTCTCACTCTGCTTCCCCTCACCTGCCCCTCCCACCGCCCGACCCGCCCCCTCTCCTCTACTCTCCCCCACACCTTCCCCCCCACCCCCTCCCCTCCCCCCGCTCCCTCTCCCCAGCCCCGACCCTCCCGGATTCCCCCTCCCCACGCTAGTCCCAACCCCTCCGCCCGCCCCTGTCCCCCCAGCCCGCCCGCCAGGCGCCCCTGCCCCTCCCCCTGGCGCATTCCCCCCAGAGGGCGGAGGCTTCCCCCCTCTCCCGTCGGGTCGGGGTATTCGCCCGTGCCTGGGGCTCTCTGGAACGCGCTCCTGCCCGCCTGCGCTCGCCCCCACCTGTGAGTTCTGCCGTGAGTAACTTTCAGACGTGGACACTCGTAAGATGCTCTTCGGAGGGGCGGCCCCCCCTCCCCCCCCCGCTCCCCCTCCTCCCCCTCTCCCTGAGCCTCCCCCCAGCCGTGATCTCTCCTTGGCGTCCTGCCTCGCCATGCCCCACTCTCTACTGTTATTCCACTCTCTACTATTATTCCATTCCCTGCTGCGATCCAGGTCCCGCCCGTCACGAGGAATAGAGACGTCTTTAGAAGACCCAGACGCCTCTCTCGAATTAGTAGCCTCTCGAGCACCACCAGAGGTATTCCGGGAGTCAGCAGTATCCCTGGTGGCATTAGTGGCCTCTCTGTTCCCGGATGCCTCACGAGTGCTCGTCCACTCCCGGCTGTTATTCCACTCCCTACTTTGATCCATTGGGTCACCACTCCCTCTCCTCTCCATTCCTCCTCTCCCACCTCCTCCTCCTCCTCCTCCTCCTCCTCCTCCTCCTCCTCCTCCTCCTCCTCCTCCTCCTCCTCCTCCTCCTCCTCCTCCTCCTCCTCCTCCTCCTCCTCCTCCTCCTCCTCCTCCTCCTCCTCCTCCTCCTCCTCCTCTGCCTCCTCTCTCCCCCGTTCCTCTTCTTTCCATCCCCCCTGGACCTGCCCTTGCCATACCTGCACTTCCTCCCCTCGCTGCCCCGACTCCACCTCCCCTCCCTCCTCCTACCCCACCTCCTCCTCTCCCTCCTCCTCTCCCCACGCCTTCCCCTCTCGGGCTAGCAGCCTGCTCCCTTAGGCTCCTATCGCTACCATTCCTCTCTATTCCTGACCCTCCACTCACACTACCCACTCTCCCACTGCCACTCCTCCCACTCCGCACGCTCCCCCCCACACTTGAACCCCCTCGACTGGACGACGATAATTCACCCTCATCCTCCTCCTCCTCCTCCTCTCCATTCACACTCCCTCCCACCCCTCTCTGGTCCCCCCCACTCCCTCCATGAATCTTAGACCAGATCTGATCCAGGGACGGCCCCTTGTCGTTTTCTGCATGTGATCCGATCCTGCTGTTGCTGCCGCCCATACTGCCGCCCATGCTGCTGCCGCCTTCCCTCTGCTTGCTGCCGCTACCGTAACGGTTATGGCTAGAGTTACTGTTAGTGTTACTGTAGATACTGCTTGCATCATCATCCTCATCATTACTCGTCAGCCCATCCTGATTCGAGCTATGCCCACGGCCATTCCCATGCCCATGCCTATTTCCATGGCTACTCCCTCCCTCCCCAACGCTCTCTTCTTCATCCTCCTCATCATCCTCATCATCACTCTGCAATGGGGTGCCAGCTTCCCACATTCTCTTCTGCGACCCACTTCGAGACAGCCTCCTCTGCCCTCCCTCTCCCCCTCCTCCTCCCTTTCCTTCTCCTCCTCTCACTCTTCCTCCTGCACCACCACCCTCTCCCCCACTCCCCCCGGACCCATCTCTCCTGCCTAGACTCCTCACTTCACCGCCAAAAGACTCCTCCCTCTGCCCCCCTCCGGCCAACCCTCCAGGCCTTCCGCCCAACCTCCCCCCGTTGCCACTGTCTGACCCGCTCGCACCAGCAGGGGAAGCGCGGGCAGCAGCAGAAGAAGCACCAGCAGAGGCAGAAGCAGAAGGGCCAGCGGCATAGGAGCCGCTGCCGGTTCTGCCGGCGAGCCAGCCTTGGGAGAAGCCTCCGTTGGACCCCCCTCCCAGCACCCCCTCCTCGTCCTCCTCGTCGTCACTCTCCACCTGAAGAAACGGGGGGTTGGGGGGGAGCAGTGGAGGGAAGGTGTGTTGAGATAGTGCTGGGGACGGGAGACAGTGGGAAGGGAAGGGAAGTATAAGTCCCCCTCCACCACACCCTCCTCGTCCTCCTCGTCATCACTCTCCACCTGAGGAAGGGGAGAGATGGTGGGGTGGAGGGAGAGAGTTGTAACGAGAGGGAATGAACATAGGAATGGGCATGGGCATGGGCATGGGCATGTGCATGGGCATGGGCATGGGCATGGAGCACGAGCGCACGAGAGAGTGCTAATAAGATGTGAGCTGAGGGCTCACGTGGGGAGTGGTGGTGGCTCACCTGGAAGTTCATGTAAGCGATGGACATGGACATGGAGCGCGAGCGGGCGCGCACAGACAGGGCTGAAAAAGGCTGCCTGGCCGGCAGACACTCATCCCCCTGCCCGTGCAGCTTCCTGGAAGCTGCTGACGTTGCTGCTGGCAAGGCGTCTAGGAACTTCCTTCCTTTCTCCCCCCCCCCTCCTCCTCCTCCTCCTCCTCCTCCTCCTCCTCCTCCTCCTCCTCCTCCTCCTCCTCCTCCTCCTCCTCCTCCTCCTCCTCCTCCTCCTCCTCCTCCTCCTCCTCCTCCTGCTCCTCCTCCTCCTCCTCTCCCACCCCCCTCTCCTCCTCTCTCTCCTCTTCGCATTCTGCCTATTTCAGGCCCCACACCTGACTTCGCCCGAACCAGGGGAGACTTGGCTCGGTGCCGAGCCTCAGGTCCAGCCAAGCCTGCCCCGGGATCAAGAGGGATGGACTCGGCTGACCTGGGCGCGGCAGAGCTGCGAGAGCGAGGGAAGCTGGTGTGAGCCTGAGGGGATGCTGCAAACGCAACTCCACCTCCACCACCACCACCACCAGTATCTCCACCACCACCACCACCAGCACGTCCACCACTGCCAGCAGAAGCAGCAATGCCACCACCTGCACCTCCTCCTCGTCTACCTCCCACCTCTCCCATCCCACCACCCAAGCCACCACCCAAGCTACCACCCAAGCCACCACCCAAGCCACTGCCACCACCCTTGCCACTGCCACCACCCAAGCCACTGCCACCACCCTTGCCACCACTGGCAGCACCGGCAGCACTAGCAGCAGTGGGGCCAGGGGGTGCGGCGGCCCCTCCTCGGGGGCGGGGGCGGCCCCGGGAGGAGTCATCAGAGGCACAGCCTTCCGACTCCGACCCCAGCACATCGTTCCATGACCCAAATGACGGGTACGCTGCCAGACTCTTTCCCCCCCTCCCCCCTGTCGCTCCCCCTCGCCCCCCTCCCCCTCCCCCACCTGCTCCCCCTCCCCCTCCCCCTCCCGTTCCTGTGCTAGTCATTGCTCCCCCTCCCATCCCACTCCTGTCCATCCCACTTGCTGCTCCTCCCATTTCTCCTGCTCTCCCGCCTTCGCCTCCCCCAACCACATCGCCCCTCGATTCCCCCACAGCATCCCTCCCCTGTACCTTCCCGACACCCCTCCCTGGAACAAACTCAACAGTATCCTCCCCCTCTCTCTCACTCTCCCCTCCTGCCCCCCTCCCGTCCCGCCCCACACCCTGCTGCCTCTGCTGCTCCTGCTGCCGCTGCTGCTCCTGCTGCTGCAGCAGCAGCTGCCGCTTCGTCTGCTGGTACCTCAGCTGCGGCGACGTGGGCTTTAACTCACCCGTCGGGCTCTTCGCCTGGGTCAAGCTCTCCCTGATCGCCTTCTCAATCTCCCGCGGCCGGATCGGCTTCGATAAATAATAGTCCATCCCAGCAGCCATGCAGCTGTCCTTATCCTCGCTAAGAGCAGACGCAGTAAGCGCGACGATAAACGTCCGGTGCGGCCGCGGGGGCATATGAGCCCTTCGGGGCTGGGAGGGGGAACTAGCCTCACTATCGCTGGCATCGCTTTTATCCACCCAGCTGGCGGCGCTGCCGTAAGGGGAGCCGTTACCACAGGCGGCCATGGCTGCTGTGTACACCTGCAGCCTCTCCACCTCCATCTCCCTGATCTTCCTCGTGGCTTCAAACCCATCCATCTCTGGCATGTGGCAGTCCTGCACAAATGGCAGGGGGAGAGTGGGAGGGGCGGGAAGGAGAGGGGAATGGGTTACCACAGGCGGCCATGGCTGCTGTGTACACCTGCAGCCTCTCCGCTTCCATCTCCCGAATCTTCCTCGTGGCTTCAAACCCGCCCATTTCTGGCATGTGACGGTCCTGGTGGGGGGAATATGGATGGGGGGAGAAGGTAGCGGAGTGGAGAGAGGGGGAGTGGGTGGGCGGGTGTGAAAACTGATAATTTTGGGTTTAGGGGCAGGGAGGGCGGGGGAGCGTGGCTCGGCACGAGGGCAACTTTGTTGCACGGCATGAAGGGCAGCAGCAGATAGCAGCAGCAGGGCGACTCACCATGAGCACGACGTCGTAGCAGCGCTCGGAGCACGCGCGCACGGCGAGCTTGCCGTTCTCCACCACGTCGTACTTGAGGCCCAGGTTGTGCAGCATGCGCGTCGCCACCATCTGATTCACCTTGTTGTCCTGCCAGAGGAGTAAGGGGGGAAGCGGTGTGGGGGGGGAAAGTGGGGAGAGAAGGGAATGGGTGGTTTGGGGGGAATGGGGTGAGTAAGCAAACATCTTGTGCTGTCAGCTTCCCATTCTCCGCCACGTCCTACTTCGCTGCAACCATCTCCTACTTCCCATGTTTTTCAGTCGACTAGAAAATTCGCCCACCGCTCTCCTGCAGGTGCTTCCACAGCGGCTGCTCCCTTGGTCTCCTCGCCTCTGATGCCATTACCCCAGCCACTAGCGACCCCAGCGCCGCCAACACCCACTCACCTCGGCAACGAGCACTCTGAGGTCCTGCAGGTGCTTCCACAGCGGCTCCACGTCACTTGTGAGCGACTGCTCCGCCGATGCCGTGGCTGACTGGGCGTCGCGCCTCACCACGCCCACCCGCACGTGGAAGTAAAAGGTGGACCCCACGCCCACCTGGAAAGAGGTAGGGCAAGAAGGGGGGGAGGTAGGGCAAGAAGGGGGGGAGGTAGGGCAAGAAGGGGGGGAGGTAGGGCAAGAAGGGGGGGAGGTAGGGCAAGAAGGGGGGGAGGTAGGGCAAGAAGGGGGGGAGGTAGGGCAAGAAGGGGGGGAGGTAGGGCAAGAAGGGGGGGAGGTAGGGGAAGGGTTAAGAGGTAGGGAAAGGGGTAGAGGTTAGGGTTTTGAGGTGCCCCAGAAAGGCCTCCCTGGGCCACGAGTCACCATCCCCACACACACGTGGCAATCCGGCCCGACCGACCCTAAACCCACCCACCTGGCTGTGCAGGCTGATATCGCCCCCCATGAGGATGCAGAGGCTCTTGCAGATCGCCAGGCACAGCCCCGCGGCTGGATTTGATTGGTCTCAGATCAATAACTAAAGCCAAATAGCCTTGGCCTCAACTCAACTCACTTGCCTGTGCAAGCCCGCCCCATGCCCCTCCCCTTACCTGGCTGTGAAGGCTGATATCGCCCCCCATGAGGTTGCAGAGGCTCTTGCAGATCGCCAGGCCCAGCCCCGTGCCACCGTAGCGGCGGCTGGTGGAGTTGTCAGCCTGGCTTGCCAAGCCAGTTCATATCAAGACTCGGCCCCAACGTACCTGGCTGTGAAGGCTGATATCGCCCCCCATCAAATTGCAGAGGCTCTTGCAGATCGCCAGGCCCAGCCCCGTGCCACCGTAGCGGCGGCTGGTGGAGTTATCGGCCTGCGAGAACGCCTTGAACAGCCGGCTGCGCGCACTCTCGTCCATGCCCACTCCCGTGTCCCGCACCTCAAACCGCACCATCACACTCTCATCCCCCTCGCTCTCACTTTCACTCTCGCTCTCTCCCTCGCTCTCCTCCTCGCTTTCTCCCTCCTTCCCCTTGCCGCCGCCCTTGCTCTGGTTCCCGCTCCTGCTGCCGCTGTTGCTGTTGCCGCCGCCGCCAGCAGCGGCAGTGGTGTTGGTGGCGCCGTCTGTAAGAAGCTTCGGGGTCGCTGCCTGCTCGACCTCTTTGATCTCCTCGTCAGTGGCCAGACGCAGGTCCACTGTGATTCCGCCACTGGGGGGGGAGGGCAGGGGCGCGGAAGGAGGGCAGGGGCGGGGAAGGAGGGAAGGGGCGGGGAAGGCGGGAAGGGGCGGGGAAGGAGGGAAGGGAGGCAAGAGGTGCGAGGGGGGAGGGGAAGAGGTGCGGGGGGAGAGGGGAACAGAGGGGAAAGGGGAGGCGATGAGTCAAAGAGGACGTTCAACAACGAACCCACCTGTTTGCCTCTTTGCAGAACCATCGTTCCTTCCATCCATCTGCTGAGCTGAACACTCCCAGGACACTCCCTTACAGGTGAACCAGGAACCCATAGGAACCCACTCATCCGTGAGCTCAGCTCAACACTCACTTATCAGTGAATTTGATGGAGTTGGAGATGAGGTTCAGCAGCACCTGTCTCAACCGCACTGGATCGCCCACCACTACGGACGGCACCTCTTCAGCGATCTCCAGCTCCAAATACAGCCCCTTGTCCTTCGCCACCACCTCTAGCAGCGCCAGCGCCTCTGTCACCTGCAGCACGGGAGGGAACAAGAGATGGTGAACATGGGATGGGGAGACTGGGAAAAGAGAGACAAGGCCTCTGCTTCATTCATCTCCAGCTCCAGCCTCCAGCCTCCAGCCTCCAGGTACAGCCCCTTGTTCTTCGCCACCACCTCTAGCAGCCCCTCTTGCAGCGCCAGAGCGCCTCCGTCACCTGCAGCACGGGAGTGAAGGAGATAAGAGTCAGGGAGACAACAGACAAGGACCCTGACTACTGAACTCAGAGTTCTCTGACAGCGATGCTTGAAGCTCACCTGCTGCTGGATATTGAACTCTATGTGTTCTAGCGCCAGGTTCTTGGATTCGATCTTGGATAGATCCAGCACATCGGATATAATTCTCAGGAGATTGTCCCCCGAGGAGCGGATGATCTCGAGGTACGAGCGCTGCTCCGCTGTGAGGTCCGTTCCTAATAGCAGCTCCGCCACTCCGATCACACCTGGACGAAAGTTTGAGAGGGGGACGGGCAGTAGAGAGAGATAGGGAAAGGAGAGGACGACCGGATGATCTCGAGGAACGAGCGCTGCTCCGCTGTGAGGTCCGTGCCCAGTAGGAGCTCCGCCACTCCAATCACACCTGGGGGGAATGAATGAGAGAAAACAATGGGGGAAGCACAAGCGAGGGACAAGGGGATGGGAAGGGAGGGATGAGTCTGAGGCATGGTATGAGCTCCTGTGCTACCAGTTACTTTCTCCTGTAGATTTTACTTTTGAGAATTCCCAAAAGTAAAATTCACATACACGGTATGAGCTCCTGTGCTACCAGTTACTTTCTCCTGTACATCGTCAACCAAAACCATCAGGTACGTCCAAGTACAGGCCTCAATTCTTGAGTGCAACACAACACAGCACGCACCGTTCATGGGGGTACGGATCTCGTGGCTCATGTTGGCGAGGAACTGGCTCTTGGCCTGGCTGGCCTTCTCAGCGGCGTCCTTGGCGGCTCTGAGCTCCTCCGCCTGCTGCTTGATCTCGGCCACCTCATGCCACACCACCAAGTACATGGCGTGCTGCTGCTGCACCTCCAGGAACGTCAGCGTCACTTCTATTGGGACTAGAGAGCCGTCGAAACGTTGGTACACCCACTCGAATCTGAGGGGCGGGGAGGAGGGGACGGAAGGGGATAGGAGGGATGGGATGGGAGGGATGAAAGGGAGGGATGAAAGGGAGGAGAGGGGGCGAGTGTTGGCGGCTCTGAGCTCCTCCGCCTGCTGCTTGATCTCGGCCACCTCGTGCCACACCACCAAGTACATGGCGTGCTGCTGCTGCACCTCCAGGAACGTCAAAGTCACTTCTATGGGCACCAACGAGCCGTCAAACCGCTGGTACACCCGCTCAAACCTGACGGAGGATGGGGGGACGGATGGGAGGGGAAAAAGAGTGTAGAACGGATTGGGATTGGAAGAAAATCACAGTGGTGCAATCTACAAATGCCCTTCCTGTCCCCTTCCCTCCCCCCTCCCCACCTCATCTCGTACCCTTCGCCTCACCTTCATTCCCTTCTCCTCACCTTCATTCCCTTCTCCTCACCTTCATTCCCCCCACCCGCCTCCCAGCACCAATCTCACTCACTACTGCAACCACCCCCGCCTCCCCTCCACCCAAACCCCACCCCCCCATCCTTCCCCCCTACGCACTTGTGCATGCCCACCACGTCCCCTCCCACCCACCCCTCCCCTCCTCACGCACTTGTGCATGCCGTGCTGCTCTGCCCTCCGGTCCATGGCTTTAGCCTTCTCTTTGGACAGCTGCCCGTCCGGCTGCTTCAGCGGCGAGAAGAGCGCGGGGTGGTGGCCCAGCAGGCTGGCCTTGTCGGGGCAGCGCAGGCAGCGCACCGCCGCCTCGTTGCACTCGGTGATGCCCGTCTCATCAAACACCAGGTAGCCGTCCTGCAGGGGGGATCCAGAACAAGCGGGCGAATGGAGGAGGAGGGGAGCAGGGGTCGGTGGGGTTGGAACAGCACCTTGTGCCCCCTGCACTCCATGACCCCGTCTCGTGGAGTGCAACAACCCCACCTCACCACCACCTTGTTGCACTCCGTGATCCCCGTCTCGTCACACACCAGATAGTCATCCTGATGGGGGGGGAGGGGGAGGGGGAGGAGGGGTGAGGGAGGAGAAAGGAGGGGTTGGGTGGGAGGAGGGGCGCATGAGTCGGGGGCGTTAAGAAGGCAGCGCAGTCACCTCGCTGCTGCCTCGTTGCACTCCATTATGCCCGTCTCGTCACACACCAGGTAGCTGTTGGTGAAGAACACCAGGCGGAGGGGAGGGGGAGAGAGGAAGGGAAGGGACGGGGTGCGGGAGGCGGGATCATTGGTGTTGGGACAGACAGGGGAGAGGAAACGGCGGGGGAGATGGGTTAGGTGACGGGTATGGGAGAGGGGATGGGAGGGAGTGCGTGGTTAGAGGCAAGAAGAAGGCAGGGTGGCACACACACACACACGTGCGCGCGCGCGCGCACAAACACACAGACCCATACCCATACCGATACCCACAAACACCGAACAAGTCAAAGGCGCACCGAGGAGAAGTCAAAGAGCAGGCGGAACTTCTCCTGCACGATCAGCCGGTCCGTGATGTCACTCACCACCCACAGCTCCCCGCCCCCTCCCCCCTCCGCTGCTCCCCCGGTTATGTCACTGGAAGAGGAAAGATTGCTGCAGTCGCGCCCCACCACCTCCACCCACCGCTGCTCGCCGTCGCTCCGCACCACACGCATGGTGCGCGGATGGGGGAACCCCGCCTTCCTGTCCGCATCCATCACCTTGCGCACCTGCGGAGAAAGCGGGAGAGGGAGAGCGGTTTGCAGAATGATGGGAATAAAATGCTTCTTTCACCCACTGCTGCTCCCCATCGCTCCTCACCACACGCAGAGCATGCAGCATGGGTGAGGGAAGCCTGCCTTGCGATCTGCATCCATCATCTTGCGCACCTGGGAGGGAGGGTGTGTGGGTGAGTGGGTGGGTGGTGGGGAAACACAGGGTGAGAGGGTGGATTTCCTACCTGCCTTCTCTTCTTATCCTTACTGCTGCTTCCCATGGCCTCTCTCCCCTCACCTCCGCCTCTCTTTCCCGAGCAAGACCCTAGTAGCGCCTGTTCCCACCTAAGCCTCTTTCCCTCCCGGAAGAACAGCGAGAACCAGCCATCTACACTCCCCACCTGCACCCACGAGAAATGAAGTTGCTTTGAGTCGTCCTAAAAACAGCATCATTATCACCCGGACCTGACGAGTCGGATTTTGAGTCGACTCAAAAACCGGACCAAGTTGCTATGAGTCGTCTTAAAAACAGCATCACTATCACCCGGACCTGACGAGTCGGATTTTGAGTCGACTCAAAAACCGAACGAAGTTGCTTTGAGTCGTCTTAAAAACAGCATCATTATCACATGGACCTGACTCTCCCAAGCAAGGCCCTCAGCCCACCCTGTTCCCCACCTCGGCCTCTCGCTCCCGGAACAGCAGCGAGAACCACTCGTCCACACTCCCCAGCTCCTCCCGCGAGTACCCCACTATCGCCTCCACATGCGCATTCACCAGCACCTCCCCACCCTTTCCCCCCGCTCCCCCTGGCCCCCCCGCTCCCCCCGGCTGCGGCAGCACGTGCACCACGCCCGCAGGTAGATGCTCCAGAATGAAGCGGTGGCGATCTGAGGAGGGCGGCTGGTACGGAGAGACGCAGGGAGAGGAGAGGAGGGGGGGATAGGGGGGAAGGGGGAAGGAGGATTGGCCTGAGGGAGGGATAGGGAGGAGGAAGAGTGGTGAGAGGATTGGTATGGGAGAGGGTGGGACATGGAAATACCACACCATCACACCACATCACACCACACCACATCACACCACACCACATCAGACCACACCGCGCCAGACCACACCGCGCCATGGACTTCTAATTATGGAAATTGCAGGCAAAGAGGGGATCAGAATGGCGCCATTCTCCATTGACGGTTCAGGAACTGCCTCGCAATGGCAGAATAGTGGATCGAACCAGGCAGGTCACGCACCTTCGCAGTGCTGGCAGCTGCCAGGTCGCAAATCACAGCCATGACCATCGACACATGATTCCCAGTACCACCAGCAGCAGCAGCATCACCACCACCACCCGCTACCCCTGCTCCCACTCCTCCACCAGTGGAAGTTGGAGGGGCGGCCTCGACCGTGATCCGCACAGGACGCAGCTTGCCGCCCGGCAGCACCAGCCGCACGTCGTGCTGGCGCTGCCGCTGCCACGCTGGCGCTGACATGGACGCGCCACGTAGGACGGCGTCAGAGACTGTAGAGAACCACGCCTGGAAGGCTGCCACGTCATCCCGGGCAATAAAATCCTCCATCACCCGCCCCTCCACGGCCCGGGCCGGGCGGCCCAGCATGGCTGCCAGGGCGGCACTGCAGTGGGCCAGCTCAGCGCTGCTCACCCGCAGCGCTGCCAGCGCGACAGAGGCAGAATCAAGCAGCGATCTGATAGGGTGGGTTAGGATGAGGTGGAGTAGGGTGGGGTGGCATGAAGAGAGGCAAGTGACTATTGAGGAACCCCAGGAGTTGAACGCGCCTGGAATGCAGCCACGTCATCCCGGGCTATGAAATCGTCCAGCACGCGCCCCTCCACTGCCCGGGCCGGGCGGCCCAGGGTTACAGGGGGGAGGACAACACAATGGGGGCTGTACAGGGTGGGACAACACAATGGTGGGCAGCACAATGGTGGGCAGCACAATGGTGGGCAGCACAATGGTGGGCAGCACAATGGTGGGCAGCACAATGGTGGGCAGCACAATGGTGGGCAGCACAATGGTGGGCAGCACAATGGTGGGCAGCACAATGGTGGGCAGCACATGCGAGAGGATACAGCGGGGGGGGGCACACGGGGAAGCATACAGTCGATGTGGGGGCATTCCCAAGAGAATTTCCGGAGAAGGGGGTCTGGCAGCCAGTGGAAATCAATGGCGTCTTGCAACCAGTGGTGGTGGGAGAGGAAAGACGGCCGTCCCAGTGAACTCAGGAGTGTGAACTCAGTGAGCATGCAGTGGGGTGGGGGGAAAGCATGCAGTGGGGTGGGGGGAAAGCATGCAGTGGGGTGGGGGGAAAGCATGCAGTAGGGTGGGGTGGGGGGAAAGCATGCAGTGGGGTGGGGGGAAAGCATGCAGTCGAGCGTACCTGAGAGGGGGCTCTGGCAGCCAATGGACGTCGATAGCATCCTGCACCCAGTGCTGGGGAAAATGGCCCTCTGGTGGGGGAGAGGTACAGTGGCAGAGGAGGGCGGTTCGGGAGGAGGAACAGGGGAGAGAGAAGGGGGGTTGGGGATGGAAGGAGTCTTGAGGCGCCTCAAAAGCAGCCAGTGGACGTCGATAGCATCGTGCACCCAGTGCTGGGGGGAAATGGCCCTCTGTGGGGGGGGGGGAAGAGGTCCAGTGGCAGAGGAGGGCAGGGGAGGAGGAACGGGGAAGACAATGTGTCGTGTAGTGAATCGGCTCAAAACAGCGGATGCCTATGGCATCCTGCACCCAGTGCTGGGGGAAATGGCCCTCTGTGGGGGGAGAGGTGCAGTGGCAGAGGAGGGCGGGGGAGGAGGAACCTTGGAGAGAAAGGGGGGGATGGGGATGAAACGAGAGGGACAGGAATGAGAGAGTGGAGGGGGGGAGGTTTGCCAGTGAGGCTTTGTATATTCCAGGCTTGTCAATGTTTTGCTATTCAGCCCTCGCGTCCTCACCTGCCCCAACCGCTTCTCACCGCACCCAATTCGTGTCCCTTTTCTCCCCCTTCCTCACCCCCATACTTCCTCTCCTTATGTGGCAAGCCAAATCCCCTCCTCCTCCTCGAACAAAACTGTGTTCCCCAATCCCCTCCATTCCCCCCGCCAGCACTCTCCCTGTCTATGTTCTCCCCACCTGCGTTCCCCCTCCCCCTACGCCCGCCTCCTGCGTTCCCCCTGTCAGCGTTCCCGATTTCCCCTGCGTTCCCCCTGTCAGCGTTCCCGATTTCCCCTGCGTTCCCCCTGTCAGCGTTCCCGATTTCCCCTGCGTTCCCCCTGTCAGCGTTCCCGATTTCCACTGCGTTCCCCTTGTCTGCATTCCCCGTGTCCCCTGCGTTTCCCCTGTCTGCGTTCCCCGTGTCCCCTGCGTTTCCCCTGTCTGCATTCCCCGTGTCCCCTGCGTTTCCCCTGTCTGCATTCCCCGTGTCCCCTGCGTTTCCCCTGTCTGCATTCCCCGTGTCCCCTGCGTTTCCCCTGTCTGCATTCCCCGTGTCCCCTGCGTTTCCCCCGTCTCCAGCATTCCCCGCTTCCCCTGCTCACCTGAACCAAACCGCGACTTGCGGTCCTTCTTCCCCACCCGCCCCAGCGTGTCACATCTACCCGCGGAGCCCTGCATCCGCGCATCCTCCCCTGCACCCGCGCCTCCCCCTCCCCTCCCCGCGCCCATCCCCCTCCCAGCCCCACTCCCCATCCCCAACCAGCCAATGTCCCCTTCTTCTACACTCATCATTCTTCCCCCAGGCCCCCCGCCCCTCGCTTTCCGCCCTCGCCCCATCTCCTCTCCGCGGAGCATTCCCCCCGTGGCTCCCCCCACCGTTCCGCCAATCGCCCCCGCGCCCGCGCTCCTCCCAAACGCGTCGCCTTTCGCTAACAGCATATTCTTACTATCCATGGAGCTAACGTCCATGCTCTGCCACCTATTAAGCCGCGACTCGGGTCTACGCGGCTCGGGAGATCTAGACGGCGACCGCCGATGCATTGGCGACTGGCTAAGCGAGTCCTGCCGGCTAGCCGAGTCCTGCTTACGGCTAGCCGGCTGCGAGAAAACGGCAGTCTGGGACCGGTTGAATGGGTCTGACGGCATGGGCATGTGAACCTTTCCCCCGATGCTTAACCCGCGGCGGAGCGGCTTGGGCTGAGGGGAGGCGGAAGGGGAGGCGGAAGCGGGGGAAGCAGAGGCATCATGAGCTGCGGAACCGTGAGCGCTGTGAAACGCGCCGTGAACCGCGCTTGCTAGCTGACTGTCGAACCCGCCTTTTCCCGCAACGCCTCCTCTCGCTTCTGCTGTCGTCATCCCCCCCTCCTCCGCCAAGCCCGCGCCCTCCTCGCCAGGCGCCGCTGGCGACTCAGCCAGCGGCGGCGGCGGCGGCGGTGATAGCGGCTGCTCATGCGCTGTGGCGACGAGCTCCCTCTCCCCGCCAATGCCGAAGAACTGCAGATCGATGGACACCGCAATGCTCGATGCGCCTTGCCCCTGCGCCTGTCCCTGCGCGTGCCCCTGCGCCCCTCCCGCTGCCCAGTCCCGTCCCCCGGCCCTCCCTCTGCCGCTCCTGCGTCTGACTGACCCGTCATCGGCGGAAGCTAGGTCCGACTCCTCTCCCTCCTCCTCCTCCTCCTCCTCCTCCTCGTTATCCTCCCCTTCCTCCGCCTCCTCCTCGTCGTCCTCTAACAATTCGCCAGCTCCCGCCTCGCCAACATCCGAAACTGAAGAGACGGTTCGGATTGACCGAACGTCCTCTGACGTGCTAGATACTATCCCCGATATAGACCCCGAGCCGGCTCCGGCTCGAGATAAGCTACCTTCCCCCCAGGTTCCCCGTCTGAGGAGATTCGCCGCAGCCCATTCCGAGCCTCCGCTGCTGCTTCGGCTGACGTCTCTATGCCGAACCTGCGCGTTCGGAACCCTCGGTCCGGGACGGCCGTGAATCGCGGCGTTATTCCCGGCCCCTCTAATTTCCCCGACTTCCCCGTCCGTCTCTGATTCTTCTTCTCCATCTCCGCGGGCCTTCGCTGGCAGAACTACCGAGAATCGCGCAGCCTTTTCTTCACCCGTGGCCAGAGGCGCGACCAGCTGGAGCCAGTCAGCCAATGGGAGGCCATCCACAAGATTGCAAAGCGATAAGGCTTCCAGCTCAGCATTGTTGTATCCAAGGGTTCTCCGCGCGCCTTCGCTGGCGCAGCAGATCCTGGCCGTCCACGGGTCGAGAACGAACTGGAGGAACTGGGCCTGCTGTACAAACCCTAAAACGGTCTGGCTCCTTCCGCCGCCGCCGAACGTCCCTTGGGGGTTGTTCCCGCCGGAAACTCCGCTCCTCCTTCGCCGTCTGTTGTTGGCAACGTGTCCGGGTCTCCCGTTTCTGGAAAACCCGGAGCTCTGATAGGCCACTGAAACCGTCATTAGTTACCGCTAGCGGTTAGAGGTTAAAAGTCTTGATACTTAAATAGTACAGTAAGGTATTACACACGCTAAGCTCCGGACACTTCGCATGCTGCTCTACTGTGTCTTGAAAATGAGTTAGCGGTCGTGCTCTGGTTGACACGCCGTTAGTTGTCAGAGCTTGATGGTGACAGAGTTTAGGACGTGGCGCCTGCGAACGATGGAACTGCAACCAATCAGTAAATCAAAGCTACGCTTTAGGTCAACTTATGCTAAATACTTGCTACAATCAGTAACTGTCCGTCCTACTCTTTTGACAGAACTGCTACCACAAACACCCCACCATAGCCGCAAGTCCTTAGCTCATTCTGAGCCTACAACAACAATTTCGTCACCAAGGCAAATGCGGGGGAGTGGTCGTGGAAGACGGAACAATTGGGTAAATCACCGACATTGCGCTCTCAAAATTCGGTCTACAATAGGTTTGCATAGCACAATTACCAGGTACAAAGTACGGGGAAGGGAGGGCTCTTTGTACAGTGCAGCCGGCTGCTCTGAAAACGAAACAAGCTTTTCTATGCTTATCAACTTTCTGACCCGAAATACTTCCGTTTAAACTTCTCAGATCATTTTCGTTTAGCCTGCCCCGCTGAGACTTTTACCGTACCTGAGTTTAACCCTGATTTTCAATAGCCACAGGCACACCAGCCCAGAGTTACCGCGCTTCGATGGAAAGAGACCTTGCCGGGGGAGAATGTGCGTCCCTCCCACTCCCACAGCGCCAGCCAACTGCCCCCACCAACCCTGAGGCGTGCGGCTTGTTGAACAAAGTGTCGTGCTGTCGGGGACGAGCCTGAGACTTCGGCCCTCCTGGCCCCAAAAAATATCATTTATGATTGGCTGAAGGGCAATCCCTGCGGTTTGGTGGAAGGCTTGCCTTGGCTGGATGCGAGTTCGATAGACGACACCAACACCAGAACTGATCCCAAAGCTCGCGTCGCCTTACCACATTGCGGTGATGAGCTTGACGGACGTCAGCATTCCTCGAACAGAGCCAGACGGAGGAACGAATGTTTGTCCTCGATGATGCAATTATCGCTAAGATACGACTGCACATAGACAAAACCAACAGAATGACTCAAGGAGAGGGTGCACTGCGTGCTAGGGTGCAGGTTTATCACTTGCCCAGTTAGATTGCAAGAGCGAAGGTAGTTCATCAATTATTGGTTCTATCACTCTCCACCTTACTGCTGCTGTAATCAACTGGACTGCCGAAATAGGGGATGATGCCCAGCAAATCAGGGGCCCCTTGTAAGGACTGGATGAGCAAGAGAAACCTGCCAGTCTGTCTCTAAGCCATAAGGGTCAAGTGGATACTATTTGGATCTCTTCGCCGTTTCATTGTCCGTGGTCTCTGCTCCCTGGCCTCCCTCTCAGTGATAATACGGTAATACTAATATCCCTTTTGTGCCGCAGCAATTACTGTTTCTCCCTGGCCTCTCATCCATGCAGAAACGCATGTATGGTACATCTGGTGCACAGTGCACGTACTGGCAAGGTAAAGGTGATGATGATGATGATGATGATGATTCCATCAAGGCGATGGCAAGGGAAAGATGAAATTGCTGTACGACCACCCAGCTGCCCAAGGGCACTGCACTGGTTACACCATCATCTCAGCCCAGCTCAGTCAACGGCCCCATCCCCCCCCAACCCCCCCTTCCCCCACCATAGCATGCTTCTCCTTCATGCCGTGCAGTTGCCTAGACTTGAGTGCGGTGATGACCAGAAGCTGTTTTTCCATCCCACCTTTTGTGTCGACTCACAAGTCAACTCTTCCATCCCACCTCCAAAGATACCCTACTTGGGAACTGTACGGAAAGATTCCAAATTCTATTCGCCACCCACCCGTCATCAGGAAACTGTTCACATTATCATTTACAGAACATGTCATTCTGCATGGGAATGCTTGTGGCCATGGGTATTTTTCACTGCCCACGGCCAAGGAACGAGAATGGAGGTCGACTCGCGATATGCTCGATACTCTGCATCTTTTCCCCACCGCTGCTGCGACGCCTTGTCCAACAAGGGGATCTGAAAAAGAGTCGGACGTCAATGGAAGTAATGATAACGGAGGTGACTTGAAATACGCTCGATATACGCTTACGCTGCATCTTCCCTGCACCACTGCTGTGAAGCGTTGTCAAAAAGGGGGATCTGGAAGTGAGTCTCGCAGCAATCCAAGGAGGCTTTTTATGATTCGAAATGAACCCTCTCAGGGATCCGAAATAATGTCGGGCAGCAATTCAAGGAAATGAGACGAGGATTGCATAGAAATGGGGAGAGGGAGGGGGACGACTTTTGAGACGTCTCAAAAGTCGGGCGGCAACTAAAAGGAGACGAGACATTGACTGCGTGAAAAAAGGGAGAGGGAGGGGACGAGGGAAACTTGTGAATGAAATTCGAATGAGCTAGTTGTTGGGTAAAAGCCGCTGGTGAGTTTACAATAGCTGGAGATTAAGATTTGCGGCAGATCTCATGCTTTAGACTGCAGAAAGAAGTTGGCGCGTTTATAACGAGGGGGGACTACGCTTTGAGGTGAGGAGATACGCAACATTAGTTTCAATAGGCCAAGGGCAGAGTGTGAAGGGGGCCTTGAAAACAGAATTTGTTCAGCGCACAAGTGCAAAGAGTGTGAAGAATGTTGGAGTCAGTTTTGAGAATTCTAAAGAATGACTCCAACATAGGCCAATGGCAGGAAACATACCCCGCTCATGCGCACGAGTGCATAGAGTGTGAAGAGAGGACTCGCAAGACCTGTGACCACACGGGATGATGACAACAAGAAGTTGGGACAAGAAGGGTTATGTGTGGGTGTAGAAGGTGGAGTCATTCTATCGAGCATGCAACACCCCCAACAGATGGTACCAGGCATCTTGTGCCTGAGAATTGTGAAGGATCACACGAGCAGGTCCCATGGATGCGGCTTTGTCAGACTTGAAAAAAACAAAAACAAAAAAACACCAACACATGTCCCATGCACTACCAGGCACAGCAGATCTAAGATGAGGTGCACAGACAAAGTGGAAACGTGGAAATACGAGAAAACAACGATTTAAAAGAACCAAGGAAACAACAAAATGCCAGTGGATGGAAAAAACAAAGAGAGGCCCGAGCAAGAAAAGGCTCACATATGAGGCGATATGCAGGTGAGAAGCCAGAGTAGGTCAGCAGGTAGAGTAGAGGAAGAACCGTAGGCATGATTTAAGGCGCCTTCTAAGTCGGCTCAACAAGAGGAGGCTCACATATGAGGCGATAGGTAGGCGAGAGGCCGGAGTAGGTGAGCAGGTAGAGGCCAAACCAGAGGAGGATCTCTCCAAAGTAGTTTGGGTGCTGGCTCCAGCTGCAAACCAGGCGGACAGTAAACATAGAGCGAAACAATTATTTTGTTGACTTTTTTTGGTTTGTTTGTTTGTTTGTTTGTTTGTTTTTGTTTTTTTTTTTCCCCCCGAAATATTGTGGTACTGACTCCAGCTGGGAATCAGGTGGACATGGCGGGAAGCACGGAGCAAAATGGAGCAAAGGGATAGCAAGGAAAAGAAGGTGGGATGATTGGAATGGAAGTGGAAGCTCCAGGGGAGAAAAGGCCGGGTAAGATGGCGAACGAAAAGAGCAGTAGAAGGCACACACGAATTATGTCATCCAAAAATTCCTGTCATATTATTGCTCTGTCAGACAGAAGACTCAGGAATTTCAAGTAACTGGAAAACATCCAATAAAGCCACGGAAACACGTACCTCCATAGACCAGTGGATATCCACCTGCCCTCGTTCTCCTGTCTCAGGCTGAAGCTGCATTGGAAGGGCAGGGCGAGGGGGAAGGAACACAGGGAGGAACAACACAGGCAGTTGAACACAAGCACGTTGGGATTTAACCAGCTTTCTGAAAAATTTGACTGAGATTTTCCTGGCTGAAGCTGAAGCTGCAGTGGAAGGGAAGGGTGAGCGGGAACGAGCACAAGGAGGTCAGAATGAAGGGAGATAGAGAGGCGGGGTGGAAGGGAGCAAGGTAAAATCGGAGAGAGTGAGCAAAAGGGAGAGGGAGGACGAAACACGGTGCAGTGGGGGAAGCAAGCGAGGGAAGAGGAAGAATCAGTGTTTTAGGCCTGGAAGAGATTCTACACAAAGGAACATGGCCATGTGTCTAGCACAATCAGTTTCTCCTATACCCTAAACCCGACCTTCAACTCGAAAACCTTAACGCACAAAATCTTCATCAACCATCTCCACACGCTCCCTCTCACTTCACCTGTAACCAGTCTAACAGTATTTCACCTCTCATTTGTGTCCATTTTCCCGATGCGATGACTTTTGTGGCGCCTCTAAATTCGACCGTGACGAACCCTACCATTTGTACCTTCACCTACCTAAACCGTCTCACCTAGATGACATTTGAGTCGACTCTGAATTCGATCGTGACGAGCCCTACCACTGGTACCTCCACCTAAACTATTTCACCTAGAATCGCTTCACCTACAGTAACTTCTGATGGTCGGATATGGTCTCAATGAGGAAGCCAGTGAGCCATATAGCCATTCCTGCAGCAGTCAATAACGGGTATGGACCATGCATAAGGACAAGAACGGGTTATTTCACAACATGACAAGCAATAACGCTTGTAGCAAAAAAAGCGCAGTTACCTAAGTGACACGTTTGTAGCAGAAATAACGGCCGCTCACATGACACGTACGTTTGTAGCGGAAAGCACGGCTCCTCACTCACTCCTCACATGCCACGTCCACAGCAGGAAGCACAGCTCCTTACCTGCCACGTCTGTTGCGGAAAGCACGGCTCCTTACCTGCCACGTCTGTTGCGGAAAGCACGGCTCCTTACCTGCCACGTCTGTTGCAGAAAGCACGGCTCCTTACCTGCCACGTCTGTTGCGGAAAGCACGGCTCCTTACCTGCCACGTCTGTTGCGGAAAGCACGGCTCCTTAACTGCCACGTCTGTTGCGGAAAGCACGGCTCCTTACCTGCCACGTCTGTTGCGGAGAGCCATTGTGGTTGAGGATGGGAGGCGTTGAGAATGAGCAGAGGCAGCGAGACGAGCAGCACCCACATGCCCTGGAGCGGGATGGTAGTGACGGGCATGGGGGATTGCAAAATGAGATGAGAAGTGGTGAGAACGAGCAGGCGATGCGGCAGAGAGGTGAGCAGCTGCCACATGCCCTGGAAGGGGGTGGCACTGGAATGAAGTGGACGGACGGACGAGTTCAGCTCATGACAGGCACGGGGGTAGTTAGTGTGGGTGCTATTGAGGACGAGACACAGAGAGCGAGAAAACAAATGACAAGGCAGAGAGACGATGAGAAGGCAGATGCCTTATTGTCAATTGTCTCTCTACCTCATCGCCCCCCCCTGAGAGAGGCTGGGGAAGGTGCAGGATGAACTGGATGGGCATGTGTGATTTCGATCCCCTCCTGCACAACCCAGGACATTGTTAGGTAAATGGGCTGGTCCTGGCCCAGACCACACCCGCACCACTCCCCCCCACCACCTGCACCAGTCCCCACCTGCACGGTCAAGAACATCATGGTAGATGGGCTGGTCCCCTATCGGCAGGCATATACGTCCCAGAACACACCTGCTTCTGCATGCATGCACTGGACCGCTCCCCACCCCACCTGCACGGTCCAGAACATCATGAGGTAGACGGGGTGGTCCCTCACGCCATCGAACCGAGAGTCCTTCCCCCTCTGCCACGGAACAGCGCGGAGGCAGGAAGCGCGAGAGCAGGGGCAGGAGAAGGAATCAAAGAGGCTGTGACTTTTTGAGACGGCGCAAAACTTGTTTATGAGTCGATGGGGAGGAGAGAAATGCGAGCGAGTGCAACGGCAACGCGGGAGAAGGAACCAAACAGGCAATGACTTCTGAGACGGCTCTTAACTTGTCCATGAATCGGTGGGGAGGCGAGAAGTGCGAGCACAGTACAGGGGGGGGGGGGGGGGGCAGAGGGGGAGAGAAGTGCGAGCACAGTACAGGGGGGGGGGGGGGGGAGAGGGGAAGAGAAGTGCGAGCACAGTACAGGGGGGGGGGGGGGGGGGCAGAGGGGGAGAGAAGTGCGAGCACAGTACAGGGGGGGGGGGGGGGGGGGGGGGGAAGGACAGACAAAGAATGCAGTGCGGGACCAGTGGTGCTTGTGTTATTTGTTAGAATCCTCATATATAAAACACGCACGGAAAGGATTCAGGAGTGCGGCAATGAAACGGTGAGCAACACAAGGGAGAGGGCACCAATAGGTGCTTAGGACCATTTTCGATAACTTACTAAGGCGCCTCAATAGGTGCATGGGGCAGTTTTCAAGATTTTAATAGGCGAAAGAACTTTATACGGGGAAGGTAGAGGCGGAGGCAGAGGCAGAGGGGTAGGTAGAGGCGGAGGGGGAAGGTAGAGGCGGAGGCAGAGGCGGAGGGGAAAGGTAGAGGCGGAGGCAGAGGCGGAGGGGGAAGGTAGAGGCGGAGGCAGAGGCGGAGGGGGAAGGTAGAGGCGGAGGCAAAGGCGGAGGGGGAAGGTAGAGGCGGAGGCAGAGGCGGAGGGGGAAGGAGGCAGAGGGGGAAGGTAGAGGTGGAGGTAGAGGGGGAAGGTAGAGGCGGAGGCAGAGAGGCGGAGGGGGAAGGAGGCAGAGGGGGAAGGTAGAGGTGGAGGTAGAGGGGGAAGGTAGAGGCGGAGGCAGAAGCGGAGTGGGGAGGCAGCGAGGTGGTGCATGGTGCAGAAGAGGAGAGGGGGGGAAGGGGGGACTTACCCGGAGGATGCGGGTGAAGAGGAATGTTCCGAGACGAACGGCCCAGATTGAAACGAGCGATGATGCTACCACCTGATATTGAAGGGGGTGAGTCATCGAGCGAACTGAATGTGATTGCAACGAAGCGTCATGAGAAGTTTGGATGTGGCTACAATGCAGCGTTACGGAATGAGTGAATTGTGACTACAACGAAGGCGTCAAAGTGAACGGAATACAGGAACCAAATGGGGTCAAAGCGGCGAATGAAGGAGCAAATCGAAGGGTCATTGAATTAAAAAGGTGAGGCAGGAAAGCTGAAAGTGGCTTGTGAGTTTATGTCAAAATCGACTGAGAGCGTTTGATGAACTTTTCGGAAGCACCTCAAAAGGGGAGAAGTCTGACTTCCAATCAGAGTTAAAATTACTATGCATGAGGGAGCGTTTTAAAGGATCCATGATAGATGGAGTTCAGAAGGTCGATGAACGGAGGGCGGATTCGATAAAGAAAAGTGAGTCATACTTGTCTCTGGTGGAGCGAGCCGCCTATAGCGAGGGAGAGGAAGGCGCCGAGAAGGAACGTGCAGGATCCGGTTAAATCAAAGAAAAGCTCCGTCTGAATGGGTTACGGTAGACGGAATTCGGGGAATAACGGGAAAGGGTTTGGTTGGCTGAACCGCCGCAAAAAAATCATAACACGAGGCAAGGTTTTCATGATGGTCCGGTGCTGACATCATGCCGAGCGGAATATGAACTCTGCAGAGATAAGCCGACCTGGTAGACTGCGGAGAAGAGGCACGCAGTCCACTGAATAGCGAAATCGAGGAGAACGAACCAGAAAATGACTGCTCCGGGGCTGCTGTTTCCGTGTGACATGGCTGCTGGGTGATGGACTATGGAACATAGCAGAGATACCGCGTGCTGGAAACTAATGCCTAATACCCCAGTCAGTATCCACGTTATCACCCACTCGCAGGATCTGGATTGAATTGTTGTGTACATGTATTTGGGGGGAGGTTGCCAAATTGCTGTCGCCAAGAATTACAATTCGTATGACGCGTGGAGAAACGAAATGCCGCGTAACCAGATTTGAGACCTAGAGTTCTCCAGGAAGGAGCTACACCCTGTTTCGCGCCACACTGACATTCGCTGTATTGACATGCCACCTATTCTGACATCAACGCGTCCAAAACGGTCCCAGAACATTGCATATAAGCACAATTTGCCGTACTCAACCGTACGCGGTAGCAATGTTCTGTCATAAAACGTTTTGTATCGTTCAAATGGACTGCATTTGCCCGCCACCCACCTGGGGTTCCGCTGCAAGCACCAGGCCGCAAAATCCAAGCGCACGCTCGCACTGTAGCCGGGCTCCCGATTGTCAGAACGCTGAGAAACAAGGTGTATCTTTCCCACCCCACACCCTAAAGCGTGTCTAGAGACTTCAGTCTCTACAGCGCACCCAGGCGGTTTCGAACCACTGGGCTCGTGGCATGGTGTCAGGCAACCTCGGCAGTCCTAGGGCTGGCAAAAAACTATTTGCTCAGCCGACGTGTGACGCCCCCGAACCACCAAATCTGCAACAAAAAAGCGCGCGAGTCACCTAAGCTGAGTTACAGATCACTACCGAACCAATCTGCTAAGGTAACAACCGCATAAGAGCGTGTCCGAAGTGAAGCGTCGAATGGATGTCGATGATGTCTGTAAATTTTAACCCTTGGATCGAGAGTTCCAACCGTCAGGATTTACCGACATCGGATGTCAACGGATGTCAACTTACTTCGGACCCGCCCTAAGGAAAAAGCAGACGTCCGTGCCATGCCACCCTCTTTCGTTACCAAGCCTCGGCCTGTGGCATGGATTGTCAATGGTGGCATGAACAATACGCGGCTGCACTGTACTGTTAGGCCGTGTAACATTATCCTCTAACGACCGTCAGTCACGCGTTAAGCTCCTACCGAGTACACTAACGCGGCAGGAAGAGTATACTGTACTATCGTAACTAACCGGCAGTTCACCAGCTGATCGGCCTCGGTCTTTTGTCAGCCACATTCGCTCGCATGATTCTAACACTATTAATCTCGTCAAGAAAAGGAGGTAAATCTGTTTTGTTGAATACAAAGCCTTTGAATCAGTGCTTAGTCCAGCAACTAATCTCGCAGCAGCCGCGGTCAAGTCGATGATGAACATTCAGTGAGGCCGGTTTTGCTGAACGAGTTTTGTTACGCTGAAGTATCTGAGCTAGTACTAGTACTACCCACTGTCATTTCCTCTTATTTTTCACATACGTTATATTCTTTGTCAATGGATCAGCATTCTCTTCACCGTACTTATCGGTACCCTCTCACTCGCAATTTCGCTGACTTGCCTCTTTCAAGTTTCATTCCGTTACAGGAGGGTTCGGAACAAGCTGTTACTAGCCCCCCGGGATCTCCGCTAACCTTCACCAACCCTAATATGATCGACCGTACAGCTGACCCAGTCGGCGACGGAAACTTCGCCGCTCGTGCCGAAGAGTTGTCGCGCGCGACCATATTAGCGACGAATGCGTCGCCATACGACCATGCGAGAGCTAGCGAGAACGCCGGATACCTCCGCCAACCCAAGGTTGACCACACTACGGCTAGCATCTCAACAAAGATCAAGGAAGAAATGGAGGTTGACGAGCCGCAAGCGCGATGCTGCGAAGCAGTTAATAACAGGGGGGATAAGTCAGCGGTTGAAGTCGGTATGACTCTGTCCTTGTTCCCCTCCTCCCTTCCACCCAACCATCCACTGGAAGCTAATCATCATGTTGGTGCGACCCCTACCGCCGGAACCACCCTCAGCTCTGCACCTGCTGCAGCAGAACCGCTGTACGGCGGAGGTGTGACCGCGCGAGGTGTGGCAGGCGGCGGTTTCACAGGCGGAGGCGGAGGTGTGACAGGCGGAAGTATCACAGGCGGAGGCGGAGGTGTGACAGGGGGCGGTATCACAGGCGGAGGTGTGACGTTCGAAGATAATGTAAGCGGAGCTATTCATAGTGGCAGCAGCGGCGGCCGGGGGAGCAGCAGAGCAGCAGAGGGAGCGGCGACGCCACTGGCAGCAGCGACACCAGCACCAACGACACAAGCAGCAGCGAGACAGGCAGCGGTGATGAAACAGGCAGCAGCGACACAGGCAGGGCCAATACAGTTAGCGTCAGTACAGACAGCGACGACAGAGGCGGCAATGACACAGGCAGCACATGTGGCTCAAACGGTCCTGTCCATGTCGCATGTCGTGCAGTCCAGCGGCCTCCCCTCAGGCACGCAACAGCAGCTTGTCAGCGCGCTGTCCCTCCTCACAGGTTTTCTATCCACCCAGGGGGGAATCAGAGCAGGAGGAGAAGGAGGGAGGGGCACGGCTGCTGCTGCGGCTGGTCCGTCGAATCCGGCTGCAGGGGTTGCCTCTGGTGCAGCATTGGCAGTGGCCGCACCAGCAGCAGCGGCAGGGATAGGGACAGGGGCAGAATTGTCGATAGCTTCAGCAGATGCAGCCGCCGCAGCAACAGGAACAACCGCAGGTTCTGCACTGGAAGCAGCACCGGTTGCATTCCCTCGCGCCCCCACCCTTCAGTCTATCTCAGCCCTCCCATCTAGCCCAGGCCCCCGATCTAGCCCAGGCCCCCGATCTAGCCCAGGCCCCCGATCTAGCCCAGCCGTCCCAACTAGCCTAGTCCCCCAATCTAGCCCAGCCCTCCCGTCTAGTCCAGGACCCCATCGAAACACCAACACACAAACTTTCCCTGCCTTGGCTGTCCCCGCTAGTACTGACTCCTCTCCTCAACTCCAGCACTTACTTAAGATCCTGGAGGACGGGTCAAGAACCGGCGAGCTTCTAGCCAATAAGAACCACGGCCGCCTCACCCACTACCTCTCCCAAGCCTCGGGGCTCCTCTCCAGCCTCGGCAGGCAGAGCGCCAGCGCCAACCCGGGCCTGCTTGCCAGCCTCGGTGGCGACCCTCGTGGTTCGTTGTCCAATCAGGGTCGGACAATTGGTTTTGGCAGTACACTGGGTGCGGATCCTGCTGCTGCTGCGGCTGCGGCTGCTGCTGCTGCTGCTGCTGCTGCTGCTGCTGCTGCTCCTGCTACGACTGCGGCTGTTGCCACGCTTGCTGCTGCTTCTGCGTCGCCTGCTCCCAGCTCACAGGAAAGTTCGGGCAAGGGGGGTCCCATGTCAAAGCTGCTAGACGTGGCGGCAGCAGCAGCAGCTGCAGCAGTGGTCATGGCAGCAGCGGCTGTCAGAGAGGAAACGGTATCCGTTGAACTCCCCGCAGTATCTGCCGCCTCTGCTCCAGCTGCCACCTCTGCTCCAGCTGCCACCTCTGCTCCAGCTGCCGCGTCTGCTCCTGCCACTACTTCTGCCCGTGCCACACCTACTGCTGGTGCAGCCTCCGATCACGTTTCTGGTGCCACTGCCATTTCCGGGGGCATTGGTGATTCTGGTGCTGCGACGCTAAGGTCTACGTCTTCCCCCGCGCCAGCTGTCACTCCAACCGTGGTGAACCTTCCAGGTGCAGCAGCAGCAGCCCTTGTGCCTCCATCCGCTCCTCTTCCTCCTCCTCTTCCTCTTCCTCCTGACGTTGCTCCTATGCCATATCGACCAGCCGCTGCGCCTTTACCAGCTGGTGCCTTTGCACCCACTGCAACTCCTCCGCTTGCTGCCTCTACTCCTAATCCAGCTCCCAGCGCTTTCCCTTTCGAAGCGCTCGCCCAGTCTCTCACTCTTGGGGGGCTTCAATCCCAGCCCAGCCTCTCCTCTCTCCCCGCCCTCCTGGCTGCTATCTCCGCCCTCCAGCAAAGAAAGAGCCTGCAGCAAGCCGCAGCACCTGCATCAGAGCATCAGGGCGCGAGCAGCGGATCAGGTCAGGGTCAGGGGATGGTGCAGCAGGCGCAGGGGCAGGCGCAGGGGCAGGGGCAGGGACAGGGGCAGGGGCAGGTGCAGCAGGGGCAGGAGCAGGGACAGGGGCAGGGGCAGGGGCAGGGACAAGGACAGGGGCAGGGACAGGGGCAGGGGCAGAAGGAGAAGGAGAGGGAGGGACAAGGACAGGGGCAGGGACAGGGGCAGGGACAGGGGCAGGGGCAGAGGGAGAAGGAGAGGGAGGGACAGGGGCAGGGGCAGGGGCAGGGGCAGGGGCAGGAGCAGGGGCAGGAGCAGTTCCAGAAGCAGCATCAGCTTATTCGAGCTGTGTCTTTGCCCGGCCCTGCTCCCTCCCGTTTCTTCCCATCTGTTCCTCGTGACCTATACAAAGCCTCCTTCCCGTCGCCCCACTCCCCCTCCACCCTCGCTGCTGCCGCTACCACTGCTGCCGCTGCTGGTTCTGGTGCTGGTTCTGCTGATGCTGCGATTGCTGGGAGTGCAGCAGGGGAAATGAGAGGGGAGGGAGGTGGAGGGGGAGGAACAGGGGGTGTGGGAGCAGAGGGAGGAGCAGTGGGAGCAGAGGGAGGAGCTGTGGCAGCAAGAGGGGGAGTTGTGGAGGGCTTATTGGCTGGAAACTGGTCTACCAGTCGACTAGACGCACTGGCCCCTGCTGCTCTTAATATCCGAACCGAGCCACTCACCCCTCTCTCCCGTGCCGGCAGCTCCCTGACCTCACGCATAGGTTCGGGAAACGAATGGACGTGGGGACTAGGTACGGAAGCTGCTCCTGCTGGTGCTGCCGCCCCTTCCGCTGGTGCTGCTGCTGCTAGTGCTGCTGCTGCTGGTGCTGCTGCCACTGCTGGTGCTGGTACTGCCACTGCTGGTGCTGGTACTGCTACTGCTGCTGCTGCCACTACTGCTACTGCAACTGCTGCTGCTACTGCTGCTGGGTCCTCTGCAGGTGCTACCCCATGCACGAGCAGCAGCAATCCCGCTGGTTCCAATACAGCAGCACCAGCAGCAGCAGGGCAACCCCCCGTGTGGCACGGCAGCCGCAGGCAGAGATTTCTGGCCCGGCAGGAATCAGCATCTGCAGAGGCACTAGACGCGTCTATCAACCCTAATTTCACCTCCTCCCGCCTTCGGCGGCTTTGCTCGGCTGAAGCCGGGTTCGAGACGCCGCAGACCGTTGGATCGTCGTCCTCGCGGCTGCGACGGCTGGGATCGGCGGAGGGGTCGCGCCAGCTGGGGGATGCCCTGGGGGGAGGTGGGACTGGGAGAGGGGGAGGGGGTAGTGGGGGAGGGACAGGGGGGAGTGGGGGAGGCACAGGGGGGAGTGGGGGAAGTGGGACTGGAGCAGTGGGGAGTGGAAGAAGTGGGGCCGGGGCAGGAGGTGGGAGCGGGGGAGGGGCGGGGGGGAGTGGAGGAGGTGCAGGGGCAGGGAGAAGCGGGGGAGGGACAGGGGGGAGTGGGGGAGGGGCAGTGGGAAGTGGTGGAGGGGTAGTGGGAAGTGGAGGAGGGATAGGGGGAAGTGGGGTAGCGGCAGGGGGGAGTGGGGGAGCGGCAGGAGGAAGTGGGGGAGCGGCAGGGAGAAGTGGGGGTGGGGCATGCGGAAGTGGGGATGGGGCAGGGGCGAGTGGGGCAGGAGCGAGGGGGTTGGAAGTGCTGGAGAGCCTGAGGGTGCGGCTGCGGCCGCAGCTGTCTGGGCTGCTACAGGAGCAGCAGGAGGCTGTGCTGCGACTGAAGCAGCATCACGCACTGCAGCAGCAGCAGTCACAAACTGCTGCTGCTGCTACTGCTACTGCTACTGCTTCGCCAACTGCCCACCCGCACTCACCTTCTGCTGCTTCTGCTGCTGCTGCTGGTGCGAATTCAGCGGCACCAGTCGTCCCCCCATTCTCTCCTGCCCTCAACAGCCCACCGTCTCAGCCACTCAGCCGGCTGCAGAGAGCAGGACCAAGCATAGACCGTCTGAACCTACAAGGCCCCTCTGCTCTGCCTCCTCCTCCTCCTCCTCCTCCTCCTCCCCCTCTGTCTTCTCCAGGAGATGCCCGCATGCGGGGGGGGTTGCAGCGGTCAGGGCCAAGTATAGACCGCCTCAACTTTCAGGGCGCTGCTTCTTCTGCCTCTGCCATCCCTCCGCCCCCTCCTGCCTTTCCGCAGGGAGACCATCGTCCCGGGGGGGTAGAAAGTGGGGGGTTGCAAAGGCCGGGATTGCAAAGGGCAGGGCCCAGCATAGACCGTTTGAATCTGGAGGCAGCTGGGATGGCTTCCCGTGCTGCCGCACTGCAGAGAGCAGGGCCGAGCATTGGCTCTTTGAGTTTTCAAGGGGAAATACCCCTCTACAGGGGAGGCTCCGTTACTGGAGATATCTCTCTACAGAGGGAGAGGGGAGGTTTGGCTTCAGGGGAGGCTGCGCTTTACAGAAGGGGTTCGCTTACAGGAGAAGTCCCGCTCCAGAGACTAGGCAGTGTGAGTGGCCCTTGGGAGCAGGGAGGAGGGGAGAGAGAGGTAAGGGAAGGCAGGATAGTAGAAGGGCTAGAGACTGGATTGGGGAGGGGAGAAGGGGGGGGCTCTGAGGGAGTGGGGAGTGGGGTAAAGCGGGCATACGGCAGCATGCAGGTCGATGGGGAAGGTGGAGAGAGAGAGTGGAAGAGGGCCAAGGGCTTGATACGCAGCAATGGCACTGGCAACATGGCTGATACTGCTGGTCCAGAATGTGATGCTGCTGCTGCTGCTGCTGGTGCTGCTGCTGCTGTCGGCGGCAGTGTCCCGTTCTATGGTGGTACTGTTGCTGCTCCTGGTGGGTTCTTCAGTGGGAGACGAGTAGACGACACGCCAACCTCCCCTCCGCGGCCGCTCTTCTCCTTCCCCTCCGTCTCCCTCTCTCTTGACGACATCCCTTCAGCCGTCCCTGCCACTGCTGCCACCGGAGCTATCGATAAAGCCGAAGCTGGCCTCCGCCCCGCCGGACACAGGCCGTCAGGCTTGGGAAACTCAGGCTCGGCAGGTGCAGGAACGGGGGACTTTGGCTTGGGAAGTCCAGGTCCGGAGAGTGGAAATCTGGAACAGAGGGCGAGCATGGGGTGTGAAGCTAACAGCATGGGAATTTTCAAGGGTGGAGGAGTGGGAACGGGGACTGGCATGGACATGGGGGTCGGTGAGCGAGGGGATAAGGGGGGTGAGGGCGTGAGTGTGAGAGAAGATGAGGGCAGGGGAGGAGGGGGAGGCAGCAGGGTAGGGGCTAGTGGTCCTGGTACTGCTGCTACAGCTGCTGCTACAGCCGCCGCTACTGCTCCTGCTCTTGGTGGTGCGCTTGCTGCTAGTCTAGGTGTTGCTAGTCCTGGTGCCTCTGCTGCTGCTCCTGCTGGTGCCTCTGTTGTCGGTTTACCTCGTTCCAGTAAGGTTGGCGGGCTGCTCCCATCGAGTGGCTTTACTGGCAGTGGATTGGGCGGCAGCAGGCTGGCCGGCAGCAGGATGGGCAGCGGTGGGCTGGCCGGCAGTGGGTTGGCCGGCGGTGGGCTCGGGGGGAGTGGGCTGGGCGGCGGGGGCCTGGGCGGCGGCGGTGGCGGGCTGGGCGGCGGGTCGCGGTTGGCTCGTAGCTTTGTGTGGAGCAAGGATCAGCTGAAGGAGATCGAGCAGATGAAAGAAGCCATGGCTGACATGGAGCAGGAGGGGGAGCCGGGAGGTGCGGCATGGGACGCACAGGTTGGGGACGCACGAGCAGGGGAGGTGCGAGTAGGGGAGGCGCGAGCAGGGGAGGTGCGAATAGGGGAGGCGCGAGCAGGGGAGGTGCGAATAGGGGAGGCGCGAGCAGGGGAGGTGCGAATAGGGGAGGCGCGAGCAGGGGAGGTGCGAATAGGGGAGGCGCGAGCAGGGGAGGTGCGAATAGGGGAGGCGCGAGCAGGGGACGCACGGTTAAGGTTAGGGGCATGGTCAGGAGCAGGTGCGGGGGGAGGAGAGGGAGGGAGCAGCGGCGAAGGGGCCAGAGCAGCGGCAGCAGCGAGGGCCGGTGCTGATGCCTCTGCTGGCGGGGCACTGGCTGGAGAAGGGAGTGGGAGGCGCTTGGAGAGAGGAAGAAGCGGAGTGGGGAAGAGTGAAGCATGGGAGGGGTTTCAGAGAGGAGACAGCTTGGGGGAAATGAGGGGAAACAGCTCTGGGCTGGACTTGTATTCGTTGGATGGGGTGGGCGATGAGGGGCAGGCAGGGGGCGGCAGGGATGAGGGAAGGTGGGGGAGCGATGGTGGTGATGATGGTGAGGGGATGGAGGGTGAGGGGATGGAGGGTGAGGGCATGGAGGAGGATGATAGACTGGATGGGAATGGTTTCAATGGCCAGGGTTACAATGGGCGGATGGAAGGGAGTGATCTGGGCGGGCGGATGGAGGGGAATGGGTTGGGCGGGGCAATGGACGGGTGTGCGAGCCGCAAGCCAGGGCCGAAACGGAAGGAGGGGCCAGTGAGCCACTTCTGCCAGAACGCACGGGTGAGTGCTTCTGTTTCCAACTTATGAGGCGCCTCAAAGCTGCTGCTGTCCCTCTCTGCAAGGCCCTTCCTGCGAGGCGCTTCTGTGAGGTTGCTTTCAAGAGGCTGCTTTTTCTCCCCTCCCCGTTCCTTTCCCCCGTACACCCTACAAGAAGCCAAAAGCGCCGAAATGGACAATACTGCCTCCATTCCCTTCCCCTCACTGCTTTTCCTCATCCCCTGCTCCCCACTAGTTTCCACTCCCGGTTCCTCCCCTTCCCCCTCTCACCCCCCCCCCCCACAATCCCCCCACAACCCCTCTCTCCCCCCCACAATGCCGGTTTCTCTCCCCCGCAGCGACCACACAACACCGCTCTTACTCTCGTTCACCGCTTGCTTCCCCATTCTCCCCTCAAAGCACCGTTACAAAAGGGGAGGGAGCAGCTGATGCGGCACATCAGGGCACTGGAGAGGCTGGTGCCGCAGAGGGCTCGCAGCAACCCCTCAGGAACATCCCTCCACCCCCCGTATCCCCACACATACACGCTCTCAGAAACTGGTGCCGCAGAGGGCTCGCAGTTGTCAACACTGCACTGTTCCTACTCTCATTCTCCTTGTTGCTTCTCCCCACTCCACACCATTTCAGAAGCGGAGGGAGCGGTTGACGCGGCACATCCGGGCACTAGAGAAGCTGGTGCCGCAGAGAGCTCGCAGCGACGCAGCCTCTGTTCTGGAGTCCGCCATCTCCTTCATCAAACGGCTCTCCCGGGAGAACCAGGTGCGTAAGCTGGCCCCTCATTTTGCAGGTGCGTGCTGTTGCTGGTGCTCTCATGCAGCAGGTTGGTTGGGGGTTGACGATACTTGCGGCACCACAAGCTGCTCCTCTTCTTCATCAAACGCATCTCCCGGGAGAGCCAAATCTGTGCTGTTGTGCTTTTCCGGAACCAGATGGGTGCTGTTCTCCCCGAGGCACGGGGAGTGGGTTGGGATTATTGGTACTTAGGCGCCTCAAACTGTGTCTCTTCTCAATCTGCCATCACTTTCATAAAGCCTCTCCAGAGAGAACCAGATCCGTGCGGTGTTCGGCTGTGCTCACTCATGTACCACTGCTGTCTTTGGGCCGTAAAAGGTGATGTTTGATGTCTAATTAGATGCCCGATCTGGAGACATTTGTTTTTTTTTTTCTGTCTCACGATGCCGCCCACGCCAACGTCTGCCACTTTTCCCCTTCTCCCTTCCCCCCACCGCTTCCCCTTCTCCCTCCCCCCCGCTGCTTCCCCTTCTCCCTCCCCTCCGCCGCTTCCCCTTCTCCCTTCCCCCCGCCGCTTCCCCTTCTCCCTCCTCTCTTTCCCATCACAGGATGAGCGCAAAGAAGTGGCATCGCTGCGGCCCTCATCTCTGAGACCGAGACCACACACCCCATGTCAACACCCGCCATTTCCCCCACCCACCCCCCCCCTTCCACTCTCCCCCCTCTCCGTCACAGGATCTGCGCAGGGAAGTGGCAACGCTCCGCCCTTCATCTGAAGCCCATCCGGAACACCTCATGCCAACCCCTTCCCATGCTGCCACTGTTACTGCTACTGCGACTGGTAATGGTACTGCTTCGGCTTCTGCTGTTCTTGATGCCGCTCCTGCCTCTGCTGCTGCGTTGAGTTCCCTGACAATTCCCATGGATCCTTCTAGTCGTGCGCTTGTTGTTTCTTCTGCTGCTGCTGGTATAGTTGCTGCTGCTGCTGCTGCTGCCAACCCTGTTTCTGCTCCTGCTTTTGCCCTTGGTCATGGGTGTAGCAATACACTCTCAGATCCCACTTAAATGAGTTATGTACAGGGCGTGGTCTTGTATTTGCATCCATGGGAATGCAATGCAATGCTGTTGTGGTGCCAGAGGGTGAGGCTTGCTAATTGGTGGTTGTTTGTGCTACCCTTCTCATTCGATGTGGGATCCAATGGCCGATGTTGTTATTGCAGTCCCGAACTTGCAGTACAGGTTTCAGCCTATAAACCCTACATTCAGAATGCGGCACAATAAGGAGGCCTTGCGTCCAAAGCCTGCCTCGCGATACAAGGTAATATCCTATGCTAGCTAACCACCTCGTCACATCTCAATTATCATATCTATAACATAACCATTACCACGCCACAGTGTACCGTTTACCTCATTCTTATGTCATTCAGTTTGCTGTGCAATACTGTTACGAGTGCAATTGAGTGAACGAACGAGAATTGCACTATCGAAGCAAGAATACAATTGAGCGAAGGCATGAGCGAACATTATATAGCGAAACTACAGTGGTAACGGTAATGGTCGCGCGACGAGCCTGGGACTGAGGTTGGGAAGCGTCGAAGCGTAGGCCCGGAGCGCGGGTTACCAGCCGAGCCGTGAGGTCGGGATGCGATGTGCGAAAAGGGCGGGATGATGAATGATGCGATGGTCGCGAGTGGTAACGGTGCTGACTGAGGTGCTACAGTGATGTATGCGTTGAGCAGGGACGCGAAGTAAGGAAAAGGGAATTTCCTTACACTACCCCCCCCTCCTAAGGAGGTCCTCCTTATGAAAGCGCGTGGATGTCTCGGAAATTGCGGCTACGCAGGTAGTCGTTGACGACGGGGTGATTTTCAACTTTCTCCAGGGGAACCCAATTGTCCTCGGTGGGGGTACGATCTTTCCAGCGGATCAGAAACTCCACTTTTCGGGCTCCTCGAGGGTCGCGAACTCTATGGCTCAGGATCTTGTCGGGGGTGATGACTGGTTCGGTTGGTGGTCGTGTCATGCTGGTGGGTCGATGTCGTGGGAGTTGGCTGGTGGATGGCACATAAGGGCGAAGTAAGCTGACGTGGAACGAGGGGCTGACGTACCAGTCAGCAATGAGGAGGAGGTGCGCGGTGACTGGCGTAACCATGTGACTGATTCGAAATGGCCCACAGTACCGAGGGCGGAGTTTTGGAGTGATGGGCAGGCGGAGGTTCTGAGTGTCGAGTAAAACGAGGTCGTCGGGTTGATAAGTAACGGGTCTGCGATGGCGATCGGCGTTGCGTTTAGCGATGATGTTTTATTTTTTGATTGCTTCTGCTGCCCTGGTCCGTGCTGCTTGCAGAATCTCGGCGAACTGTTGTGCTCGTCGGACGGGGTTGTCGGGATTCGGTGTCATGGGTACTGTTGGGTCCTGTCCGTAATTCAAGTAAAACGGCGACTGTTGCGTCGTGGCTGATGGTGCGTTATTGTATGCGAACTCGATGAGTGGCAGCTGCTGTTCCCACGTATTCGGATCGTCGCACGTGGCTCGAATCAGCTGCTCCATGGTATGATTTGTCCGTTCCGTCTGTCCGTCGGTTTCGGGGTGATAGGATGAACTGAACTGTAAGCGTGTGCCGAACTGCTGCCACAGGTTCCGCCAGAAGTTGCTTGTAAATTTCGTGTCCCTGTCGCTGATGATCGATGCGGGTATCCCGTGCAGTCGAACGACGGTGGTGATGAAGAGTCGAGCGGTTTCCTCGGCTGTGATTGATTTCCTGCATGCTGCGAAATGAGCCATCTTCGTTAGTCGTGTCAGAATATTATCTTATGTTCTAGCCTGTAGTGGGGTGCTCTATAGCGAGTACAACCCTTCTAGGGTTTGCTATTTGTATCCTCATTCTTGCTAGTTCAACCCTCTTTCTTTCTTCAAACTTTGTCATGCTATCAGAGCAGGTCGATCCCCTTGGATCGATCCTGTGGGTGGGTTACCACCTCGCTTCCGCTGCTACTTTTTCCTCCCGCCGTGCGCCCCGAGGCGCGCGGCGGTTTTCTGCCCGCCGTGCGCCCCGAGGCGCGCGGCGGTTCTCTGCCCGCTGTGCGCCCCGAGGCGCGCGGCGGGCGTCTGCCTCGCGGCGTTCGCCGCGTCCCGCTCTGGAGGCGTCGCGACGGGCGACGGGGACCCGTCGCGGCCCCGCCGCCCTACTCCGGTCGCGGCCCCGCCACCTTCGGTCGCGGCCCCGCCACAGACCCGTCGCGGCCCCGCCACCTCCGGTCGCGGCCCTGCCGCCTCGCGTCGCGGCCCAGCCGCCTTCGGTCGCGGCCCCGCCAACTCCGGTCGCGGCCCCGCCAACTCCGGTCGCGGCCCCGCCAATTCCGGTCGCGGCCCCGCCAACTCCGGTCGTGGCCCCGCCACCGACCGGTCGCGGCCCCGCCACCGACCGGTCGCGGCCCCGCCGCCCCACTTCGTGGCCCCGCCGCCCCACTTCGCCCCCCCCCCCCCCCCCCCCCCCCCCCCCCCCCTCCTCCCCCCCCCCATTTCCCGTCGTCTGTCGTGGCGACCTGAGGGGGCCGCTTGCGGGTATGGGGGTGGCCGGTGTGCTTTCCTCCCTTTGCTCCTCCTCCTCCTTCGTCTCCCACTGCTGCAGCTGTCGCTGAGGGGGGTGGTTGTGTGGGAGACTGGGGTTTAGGGTTTAAGGGGGGTGCGTGGGAGTGGAGCTAGCGGTGTTGCAGCGGGTGCGTGTCGGGGGGGTGGGACTGTTTGGGGAAGCTGCATGGAGGTTGCCGTACTATTGTCCGCAGCACCTGTAGTCCGGGGCGCTGTCCCGGTAGCCCAGTGAGCTAGACTTCTACGCCAGCCGCCCGTGGGTCCGTTGCTCGTCTGCCGCTACTTTAGCCGCGGGGCCTGTTACTCCTGTAGTCCGGGCGCTTAGTCCGGTAGCCGCTGTGCCAGTCTGCCTCCTGTTGCCCGTGTGTCTGCAGCTTCAGCCGTCGCCTCCTATCTCCTCTCCCCTCACTCTCTCTCCTCCTCCTCACTTGCCCGTTGTGACTACCACTAGCTTTGCTCATAATTGTGAACTCTAAACTATTTCTTCTTGAACTTGTGCTCAGATTGTGTGGTGACATTGTGATCCACCCTGAGCTTGTACTGCTTTGCCTGCTCTACTGATTACACCCCACTTTGGCTATGGGGGTGTGTCAGAATATTATCTTATGTTCTAGCCTGTAGTGGGGTGCTCTATAGCGAGTACAACCCTTCTAGGGTTTGCTATTTGTATCCTCATTCTTGCTAGTTCAACCCTCTTTCTTTCTTCAAACTTTGTCAAGTCGATCGACGACGACCAGGATCGCGTCATTCCCACTCGCCCCAGCTGGTAACCCCGTGACGAAATCCATCGTCACCTGCTGCCAAGCACGCTCTGGGGGCGGGATGGGTTGTAATTGTCCCGCCGGCCGCTTCCTGCTTGACTTCATGAGCTGGCAAGTGGGACACGATGCCACGTGTCGTTGCACATCGGTCAACATTTCTGGCCAGTAGTAGTACCGCTGCAGCTGCTGCCGTGTTTTTTCTACCCCGAGGTAACTCCTTCGTGTGCTTCCTGTAACAGTAGTTCCCGCAGTAGCGTGTATCCTGGTACCCAGATGCGGTCGGTTCCAGCTTTTACGTAATAGACTCCTTTTGCCGCTGCGAATTGCTGTGAGTTGTCTCCTGTAAAGAACGGGTCTGTTTGATATCCGTGGGTAAATAGGCCTGTCAGTAGCGGGCTGGTCTGGGCGAGTAGTATCGCGTGGATCTGGGCAGTGGGGCGGGTCAGTGCGTCGGCGATATTCGAGGCTCCTTTTTTGTATGTGACCGTATAGTGAAAATTCGACTCGAGGAAATCGAGCCATCGAATCTGTCGTGGGTTGAGGTGGGGCTGTGCGCAGAGGTACTGTAGAGATCGATGGTCTGTCCGTACTGTCACGTCTGCGCCGGTCAAGTAGCAGCGCCACACTTTGAATGCGTGCACGATCGCGAGCATTTCGCGGTCGTGTATCGGGTAATTTCGCCCAGGCGGATGTAGTTTGCGTGATTCGTAGGCGATGGGTTGGAGGCCGTCGCCGAAGTCCTGTAACAGTACAGCTCCGATGGCGATGTCACTTGCGTCGGTAACCACTTCGAAAGGGCGGTGGGGATCAGCGATGCGTAGAACGGGTGGTGAACAGAGAACGTTTTTCAGGGCAGAGAAGGCAGCATGCTCTTTCTCCCCCCACGTAAAAGCGACCCCCTTACGCAGTAAATCAGTGAGTGGGGCTGTTAAACGTGCCATGTCGGGCACGAACCGTCGAACTTAATTAACAAAACCTAAAAAACTCTGCAGTTCCGTGATGTTCGTCGGGGGGCGCCACGCTTTTATCGTATCCAGCTTCTTTGGGTCAATCTCAACCCCAGCCTCCGAAATGACGTGACCCAAAAACTCTAGCCTGTCCCGAAAAAACTCGCACTTGGAGCCCTTGGTGAGTAGCCGATGTTCTTCCAAAACCTTAAAAACCGCTTCAAGATCCACTAAGTGCTGCTGCTTATCCCGGCTGTAAACTAGAATATCGTCCGGGTAAACTATCACGCATTTATCTAAAAGTGGTCTAAACGCCTCGTTCATGGTCATCTGAAATGTCGCAGGCGCGTTCGTCAGCCCGAATGGCATTACTGTATACTCGAATGACCCGTACCTAGTCCTAAATGCTGTTTTAGCGCAGTCCGATGGTTCGACCCGAATCTGATGGTAACCTCCCCGTAAATCTATTTTCGAAAAGACTCGTGCTGTTCGCAGTTGGTCGATCAGTTCGTCGGCGCGGGGGATGGGGTATCGCGATTTGACTGTTACCCTGTTAAGCGCTCGGTAGTCGATGCACATGCGGAACCCTCCGTCTTTTTTCGGTGTGAACAGTATCGGTGCGGCGAACGGTGACGAGCTCGGTCGGATAAACTGCTTCTCTAACAGGTAATCTAACTGCTTCCTTAACTCGTCGAGCTCGGGCTGTGTCAGTCGAAATTGCCGCTGTACAGTTGGCTGTGTCCCTGGTTCTAACTCGATCCTATGGTCGTGCGCCCGCTGAGGTGGCAGTCCCTGTGGTAAATCATCCGGAAATATCCCCGGGAACCGTTTCAGTAGTGCCTGTAGTTCGGTCGGTACAGCTGCCAGCAATTTCTCCAAATCACTCGGCTGCTCATCTTTTTCTACGAGTGCGATATCCACTGCGTACACGTCAGCTCCAGCAGCGACAGCCCGTTTCATCGTGATGGCGTTGACCTGGACCGTCGAAGATTCGGGTGGCTGCCAGCGAGGTAGAACGACCCAGTTACCACTACTTCGCATTGTGCAGCTTCCCGTCGTCCAGTCGATCCGTGGGTTGTACCGTCGCAGCCAATCACGTCCCAATAAAATGTCGTGCCCATCCAGTGTCGTCGCGAGCATTTCCTGTGTAAACCCGAAGTTCCCCCCGCAGCGGACTTTTACGCGCTCCACCTTTTCCCGTATGGCCAGGGGCGTGCCGTCGACTAAGCGTGCATCTATCTCAGGTAAACATCGGTTAAGCGTTAACTGTAATTTTCGTGCGGTTGCGGTATTAACTAAGCTGTGGCTTGCTCCTCCGTCAATGAAGATCTTCACTGCTGCTCCCTGTATTTTCCCGTAGATCAGTACCGGGCAATCCGTCGCTGTACCCTCCTTATTCATCCGAGCCCGATCGATGGCGTGAATCGGTACTGTGACTCGGTGAGGGTCGGTGTGGTTGGGCGAGCAGGCAGTCTCGTCAGTAGTTGGCCCAACTTCTACTGACTGCTGGCGTTTCCCTGCCTCCGAGACTCCCTCCCCTGCTCTGCTCCTCGACGCCTCAGCTCCTCTGGACATTCGCTCTTGCGATGGCCCGGCCGGTTGCAAGCAAAGCAGCGCCCTCTAAACGGCGCGGCAGCTGCATTCGCTGCGACGGCATGTACAGTGGCGTGCTCGGTCGGTCCCCGAGGACGATGTCCGTTATAGGACCCCGGTCTCGGTCGGCGTAGGATATCGATTTTCTCGGCGAGCGCGAGGATCTCGTTGAAATTCGAGAGCCCGCGTAGCATTATCTCGTGCGAGATGTCCGGCTTCAGCCCTCCGACGTAACGGTCCACCCGCTCCGCCTCGTGCATGTAGCCGACCTGTTCGCAAAGTGCGAGAAACCCGCTGGTGTAGTCTTGAACTGACCCGAGCTGGCGCCAAGTGCGCAGTTTCTGACGCGCCGAAATCGAGGCCGCGATCGGCTCAAAGCGCGCCCGAAGCCCTGCGCACCACGCATCCCACGTGCTGTATTGGGCGGTTTCGCAGAACGAACTCCAGGTAACAGCTGGACCCGAGGACCCTTCCTCGTACGACGGTGGCTCGTAGGCGCGTGGCGACGTCACAATGACTCGCCACCAGTCCATGGCGGGGCCCCTGAGTAGTGAAACCGCATACCGGATCTTGGCGGCGTCCGACTCGACGTAGTTGGCGTCGAAAAACACATTCATCGTGAAGACCCACGATTGAACTGTCGGGCCGCCGCGTTGGCTTGGGTCGAAGAAGGGCGGGCGTTGCGGCTTGAGTGGCATTGGGGCCATCATGGCGTTCTCGCCACTTGTCGCCGCAAACTCCACGTGCCGACGGGCTTCTCGGGGCTCCCGTGGGCTTAATGTGCTCCTGTTCCCTCCCATGCCGGGCATCGGTTGGGCTGCGCCGTCACTGGCTGCGCCTGAGCGCTGTCCCGTGCTGTTGTGTTGCGTTGGTGTGCCGGATGAGATGACGATGGGCTCCTCCGAATGTGCAGATGCATTGGTTGGTGCGTGTGATGTCGTCGGTACGTTCACCGTTGACTGTTGACGGGCGGAGTCACGTTCCGCCGTGAGAGTCGCGATTTCGAGCGCCGAATCCTCCAATTGACGCACGAGACGATCGAGTTGCTCCTGCGTCAATGTGGCGAGATTGAAATCGGCCATGGCGGGGGTGTCGGGCAAGCTCAGCGAGAGCCTCGGTCGTGGCCGTGCGTGCTTTCGAGAGAGCACTACGAGCGGCGGTGCTGTGTCGCTGAGAGACGTCTACCCCCCCCAAAAAATGAGATAGTGGGAAGCGAAGGTGTGGATGCGGTCCGAGATGAGATCGTAGGCTCTGATACCAAGTGTTACGAGTGCAATTGAGTGAACGAACGAGAATTGCACTATCGAAGCAAGAATACAATTGAGCGAAGGCATGAGCGAACATTATATAGCGAAACTACAGTGGTAACGGTAATGGTCGCGCGACGAGCCTGGGACTGAGGTTGGGAAGCGTCGAAGCGTAGGCCCGGAGCGCGGGTTACCAGCCGAGCCGTGAGGTCGGGATGCGATGTGCGAAAAGGGCGGGATGATGAATGATGCAATGGTCGCGAGTGGTAACGGTGCTGACTGAGGTGCTATAGTGATGTATGCGTTGAGCAGGTACGCGAAGTAAGGAAAAGGGAATTTCCTTACAAATACCATACCATTCATGAACCTCGTCATTCGAACTTCGCAGGTGCATGACTGACATCCTTCGACTCCTCTCCTGACAAACTCTTCAGCCACCGAGATTATCAGTTCTCCTCCGCTCTACCTAGATTTCTTCGTGTCGCTCCTCAAAGCCTCGCTCAATGAGGAGCCCACTGAGACGTCTTTGCGCGAGACGTCTTCTCGTGATGGCCTTGACATGGCGGAATAAGCTAAGCGATCCGTTACCGAACCTTCTCACGTAGTTTCATCGGGGTTGACGATCGACGACATGCAGATAGACAGGCACGTGAGGTTGCGACAGCTTGTTCGCATGGGTGTCGCTTCGACCACACGACAGTCGCGTGACATTTACAGTCAGGCGACGTGTTCGTCGTCGTTTTAAGCAACCTAGTAATGGCAGCCTCTGCCTTTACAGCCGGGTGGGGGAACTCTTGCATGTCAGTGTTCCGCCGACCAAGAATAAGCGATGGGTTCTCCATCTCTGCTTCTCAGGAGTTTTCAAGGAAATGCCTGTCAATCCGAATTTTCGTTCAGGAAAATCTTAGTTCCTTTTACCCGACCGAGTTCGACTAAGCAAGAAGTTCTGTCTCATAAATTTCTCTCGGTCAGGCGTGCCTCCACCAGTCACTGCCTGAAGACCCCACGCACACGCATGCAGGCTTCTCGTGATGGAGGTTTCTCGAAACGTTTTTGCGATTGGAACCTCCGTGTGTCACGGGATCGCATCTATCAGGCGCCCGACCCAGAACTTCGTGTCGTTATTTCTGAAAGCTCCTTGCGACTCCTGCAAGATTCCACTCTACAATCTTCAAGAATGGATATGATTCTCCACGAACCAGGGTTCCAACATCCGGCATAAGCTCCTTCCTCTCTGGCGCACGAGATGGAAACCCACTCGTAGACGCAACCAGCCTCAGCGGATGGCTTAACTGTAAGTTGATCGAACGCCGAGACGCTAGAACCGAGATTCTTGTTCTTTCTTTCCCAGTCTTGTGGAGACAAATTCCGACTTGGCTGTCCCCGTCGCGAGAACTTTTGTCAACTAGACGCTTATGTTTGTGTACCTGCTTGCACGCTGAGCTCAGAACCCGATTTGGCTTCTTGTTGCAGTTCAAGAGGACATTGCAAGGCGGTGCCCGTCAGGAATTGGAGCTGATCTCAAGACCCTATTTGGCTTCTTGTTGCAGTTCAAGAGGACGTTGCAAGGCCGTGACGGTCACGAACTGGAGCTGGATCTTATTCGTCTCCTTGAGTTTTGGATCAAAGTTGGTTTCTGGCGAGGGCCTTAGGGATTTGTCCCAGCCGAAAGTTGAAAAAACGCCTGATTGACAAGAACCCTGCGTGGAGGAAGAGGCGGAAATTGCGGCGCCTTGCAGAGTCTCATAAGCACCACAGTTATACGTCTCATTATTGGCGCGGGGTTTCTGCACACCATGGATCCCACAGAAGAGCATACGGCTTTTTCTGCTCCTCCTGCTCTCCCTTCTGCCTTCGCCAGTGCGATGCAAATCCAAGACCCATTCCTGGCGTCTGCACCAGTCGGTTCTGATCCCCTTGTTGCTGGCCTTGCTGTTGCTGCGACAGGGCCTTCCCTCCCAGAAGCACATCTCCATTCGTCATCCGGGCTATTTTCTCTCCCGGCAGCCTTCCCCTTCGCTGATAAAGCTTTGTCATCGCCAGGGCTTCTGGCTGTATTAGACGAGCCTGCATCCCCGTTACAAGCACACTGCCCAATGGCTGTAGCGCCACATGCGTCCCTGGAGTGTACTGCGGAGAGTAATCTGGCTCGTAGCCTAACCAGCAGCCGTTGCAGGAGGGCGCGTTTGAACCCTCAGCTGCAACCTCATGAGGAGATTGAGAAGCTTCCTGAAACGAGGGGAAGAGGGGAGATCGTGGGAAGCAGGGAAACTGGAGATATGGAGAAGAAGGACGGTGTCTTGGCTGGAGAGCGAGGGAGAGCAAGGGGTATGAGCATAGAGCAGCTTGAGGCAGAGGCTGGGAGGACAGACGCTCGGCCTAATGCTTTTAGAAGTAGTTCTTGGCTAAGTGGCAGTAAACGCAGGAAAGGTGGCAATTCCAGGAAGCAGCAGCGGTTGCTTCCTACCGAGGATGAGGTGAGGGAGGCTGCGACCGATTGGTCAACGCTTGGGGCGACTTTGAGAAGAGCCCTTCACATGGGAGGAACTGGCGGGGATGACAGGTGGGAGCAGGGAGCAGGGGTATCGCAACCAGGAGCAGCACCGGCAGGCGCAGTGGCAGCAGGAGCAGCGCGGTCACGTCATTGGAGCTTTTGTGAAGGGCTGGGAGGATCTGAAGGAGCAACAGGTTTGCCAGTGGACGAGGCAACGATGTTGCTGCAGGAGCAGCAACCTGAAGTTCATGAGGAGGAGCCTAAAGTGGTCACACACCTACGTACTCAGCAGAAGCGGGAGGAGCAGGAGGAGCGACATCAACAGCAGGAGCTGCAGCGGCAGCAACAGCAGCAACAGCAGCAGCAGGAGGAGGAGCAGCAGCAGCAGCAATCTTCTCTGTTACCTGGCAGTAAAATGGCAGGAATTGGAGGGCTGTGGAGGCCAGGGTGGCTGGGCGGCAGTCCCAAGGTGATGGACTACGAGTGCAGATTCTGCGGCAAGGGATTTGATTCTCCTCGGGCGCTTGGAGGGCACATGAATCTGCACAGGAAGGGTGAGGCTGGCCCACTCATGTGCGTGTGTGGTTGTGGATGTGCAGACGTTGCATGTGTGTTTGTGCGTGTGTGTGTGTTGGGGGTGAGGGGGGAGTGGGGGAAGGGGAGTGCGTGCCTGCCTGCGTCTGTGCATGCATTCTGGTGGCCTGATGCACACTTGTTGCACGTATTGCAGTTGTTGCAATTGTTTCTCTCCTTATCACACACTTCTTGCTCTCGTGGCACTCCTTGTGCTTGTTCCAATGTGCAATGGTCAGAGCGCAAGCTAGAAGACGAGTTTTTGCAAGAGGCCGAGGCGCAAGCCAGGGTTGAGCTACAGCTGCTCCAACAGCAACAGCTACAGCTGCTGCTGCTGCAGCAGCAAGAGAAGCAGCAGGAGCAGCAGCAACAAGAGCAGCAAGAAGGCGTGCAGTTACATGTTCAGGAGCAGCCTTTAGTGCTGCAGAACCTGCAGAGCCAGCAGCAGTGGCTGCTGCAGCAGGCAAAGCAGCCACGGCTCCAACAGCAACAACTCGAGGAGCTGCTTCAGCAGCAGCAACAGCAACAGCGAACAGCAGCACAGGCACTGTCACCTGAGTTTTCCCAAAGGCAGCAACAGCAGCAGCTCATTCCTGAAGCACGCGGTTTCTCCCTTGGCGTTTCCCACAGTGCTGGAAGCAGAGCCTCTGCTGTGACTCCACACAGCCTTCCTGCTGCCATGGGGGCATCTGCTGCCATGGGTCAAGGAGTGTGGCCAGAGGAGCAGATGCTGATAGATCCGCCAATGCAGCAACGGCAGCAGCAGGAGGAGCGGAGGCATGAGAGCCAGCGTCACGAGCAGCTGCAGCTGCTGCAGCGTCACCTGCAGCAGCACAGGCAACTGCAGAGCCTGCAGAAGCAGGAGCAGCAGCATCTGCGGTGGCAGCAGCATCAGCAAGAAGAACAGCAACAGCAGCAGCAGCAGCAGCAGCAGCAGCAGCAGCAGCAGCAGCAGCAATATCAACACCTGCAGCATGGGAATAAGCAGTCAGGATTTGCTCAGCCCAGGCCACCCAAGGCTGTTGCCAGCAGGCCTTATAGACTTATACCTTCATCTCTTCCCCATACTCCCACCTCCCTGTCACCTCACACTCCCTCATGGCCGTGCATCCAGCCTCCCATGGGACCCTCCACCCACTCCAACCCATCCCCACCACAGCATCCACGCCTCCCTTCTCCCTCCACGGACCCCTTTCTCTCCACCCTCTCCCCAGAGGTTCTCCAATCTCTCTTCCTCCGCTCGTGCCCCCCTGAAACAGCTGCTGCTGACCCTGTAACTCCTCGTGCGGTTACCGCAGCAGCCTCCTTCGCACCTGCCCATCCTGCTTCTGTTCCTCCCTCGCTTGCACCCCTCCCTGCTGCTGCAGTACCACCGGTTACCATGCCATTTACCCTCCCACTGGTTACTGTACCACCGGTTGCCACATTTTCTCAGCATCGGTCCCATCTTGCCCCACCTGTACCCACTAGTCAGCTGGAAGCAATACCACCTGAACTGTCGGCGGCGTGGGTTACATCTTCTGTACTCCCAGATGGCGTTACATCTGGCGTTACATCTAGGCGGCCAGTGTCAGCCCCGCCTGTAGCAGCAGGCGAGCTGGAGAAGGAGAGTCTTCCGCAGGAAACGCAGCAGCAGCAGAAGGTGTTGAATCAAGAAGAGCAGCAGCAGCAGTGGTGGCAGCAGCAGCAGCAACAGCAGAAAGTTTCAAAACAAGAGCAACAGCAACAGTGGTGGCAGCAGCAGCAGCCAATAAATATTTCAGGAGAGGTGACAGGAAAGGGGGATTCTTTGCGAGAATGGTCAGCAGCAGGGGCAGGGGCAGGGGCAGGTCCAGAGCCCATGGAGAGAACTGGTGGGGATGATGTGTCATGGCTACGACCACATAGGCGGCAGCTTGACCTGCAACAGCAGCAGCAGCAGCAGGAGGAGGAGGAGGAGGAGTTGTTGAGTCAGCTGTTGGCGTTGACAGAGCAGCAAGCACAGCCAGGCACGGGTGGGGTGTTAGAGCAGCAGGGCAAGGCAGAGCAACAGCAGGGGAGGAGCAGTCAAGCAAAAGCACATGTGGCAGCACTTAATCCGGGCCAGGGGAGATTTGGAGGAGGTGGAGGAGTGGGAGGAGTGGGAGGAGGAAAGGGGTCTGTGCAAGATTTGACGGCTTTGGATTGGCTGCCTGCAGCCTCGCACCTCCAGGGCTTGTCTTTGCCGTCTGTGACTGTGCCTGATGTGACTTTTCCTGATGTGACTATGGCTGGTGTGACTTCTGGACCTCTTGCCTCTGCTATCGCTTCAGCTCTTGCTGCGGTTACACCTTCTGCATTCATACCGTCACTGGCTAAGCCTTCTCTAGTTGCACCTTCACTAGTTACACCTCTGCTGACGCCTTCACTGGTGAGGCCTCCTCCAGACCTTGCTGCATCTGCCGTTTCAACTCCTGCTGCCACTGCTCACCTGGTCACTCCACAGCAGCAGCAGCCATGGACCACCGGGTTCGCCCTTGGCAGCCAGCAACAGCCGCAGCAACCTTTGAGTTCTCGGCCTGTCATGAGGCAGCAGCAGCAGGTTGGGGCTCTGCCAGGGCGGCCATTGCAAGGGGGGGGTGCAGGAAGGAGTGAGGATGAGGAGCTGGCACAGCTGGAACAGCTTCGCCAGTTGTTGCTCTTACAGGAGCAGCTTATAAGGGATCAACCAGGGAAGGAGGGGCTTCAGTTGAAGAGGCAGGGGTTGGTGGGGATGAAAGGAGGTGATTGGTGCGGTGACTTGAGCCAGCAGGTGGAGAGAGAGGTGGTAGCCGAGCGTGAGGGGCAGTGCCGTTCAGAGGAATAGGGTAACACGACTTGTATGTGTCAGCGCAGCTGGAATGAAGTGTTGGAAACAATGAGTCTTAGTGCGCTTCTGTCGTGTCAAAATCCAAGACACTAGCGAAGCAGTCCCAATCGAAGCATCGAGTCAAACCTCGGAGGTTAGGGTAACCGCCTGGAGGTTACGGGAAAGTCAAAGGTCAGCGACCTTTGACTCGACAATTACAGCGCGACAGTTAAGGACACACAACTGACTCGTTACAGAGCAGTTGCCCGAGTCGCACTGTATCGAATCGCAACAGCAATACAGTTATCTATCTATTCGTATTCCCTGTACTCTTATATAAATCCTTGTATTTGCTTCTTAAATACAATCTACTTTGCTCTCACACACCAGTGCAAGGTCGGTTCACAATCTTCATTAAACGCTTCCGCTATTACAAGTTTCTACCCAAGAGTTATCCTCTGCAAAGATCCTAAGGGCTTTCTCAGCCCAACATGGTATGAGAGCTAACAGGGGAAAACTCTAAACTTCTTTTCAAAATCATTACAAGACATGGCAACAAACAAGGAAAGGAGCTCCCCTAATGGCTCCTCGGGCACTACTCCTACTCCACCACCAGCTTCTGGCCTGCAGACAGAAGAAGGCACGGTAGCAAGACCAAGGGGAACGTCAACCGAGACGCCCACGAACCACCCTTCTGACTTCGACCAGAGCATGATGGAGAAATTCTTCTCCTTCATGTCCTTCTACGAGCAACACCAGCAGTCGGGACCTGCACAGACACACAACAGCAACAACGGAGCGGCACCCATGAGCCTTGACGGGTCATCATATGCGCGAGGGAATCAACAGCAGCAACCCACCTTCGCCCCGTACGAACGCGGGTCGATCAGCTTCCTGCCTCAACCTCCACCTGCGCAAGACAAACCAATGGATGCGTTACAAGTCCAGTCACAATTTGCACATGTTCTGAAACTACAGACATCAAGACCTTTCGACGAAAAGGACTTCTTCACCTGGTCCTTTGAATTCGAGCTGATGATGGAGGGCGCGCAGATACTTGGCTTCTTCGACGGATCCCTGCAATATCCAGCAAACGGCACACAGTATGAGAAGCACCAGTATACGTATCAATCGATGATGGCGTATACTATTCTACTGAGAAACATCACACCAACCCAGCAGCAGAACATTCGCTCTTACCGGAACTTCGGCAACTCGGCGGAACTCGCGTACGGTCATCTGAAGAACCTGTACCAGGCAACAGACAGTGTAAACCAGAGCAGGTTAATGGCGCAGTTGACAACAGTTGAAATGAAACCAGGAGAAAAAGGGTTGGCGTATATCAGCCGATGTCGCGAATTGCGCGACAAGCTTCTTCGATGCGGAGGATCAATCTCTGAAGACGCCTTCGTAACAGTCGTCATCGGTGGCCTTGGTCCTCAGTGGCGCGCCACCAAAGCAATTCTTCGGGCACACGGGAGGATCTCCGAAGCGGCACTCTGCGCCGAAATTCACGCCGAGCAGCAGGATATGGACCTGCAAGAAGAAATACACAAGAAAAAGACATTAGCACCAGAGTTCGCTTTCCATACTCAGCGACGACACAACAACTACAACAATCGACAGCAGCAGCCGAAGCCAGTACCTCCGTTTTGTCACATCTGCAAGACATCAGGACACCCACGCACGCATTGCCCGTCTCGTCAGACAATACCACAGCGACAACTGCGGCCTTCAAGCACTCAAGTTGCTTCGACACAAGCAAGTTCGACAACCACGATTCAAGCTTCAACAACCTCAACTGGACAACCTGCACAAGGAGCAAGAAATATAGTCAACTGCATGGTCAAGATAAACGACTCTTGCATAACAAAGTCACCACCCCATTACTCACCAGAAGAGGAGCTCGACAACAGGACGCCTCGCCGCGAATCACTCCACCCGAATCCGACTTACGCCGCCATCGCTCAAAGTGAACCGTCCGGCCAAGACACTTGGTTCTTGGACAGCTGCTGCGGGCAACACATGTGCTCGTCCGGGCGTTTCGTACAACGCGAACATCGACTCCAACGAGAAGTGATCATCACGGTCGCCAACAATCAAAACCTGCGCACACGACGACAAGGAGTGGTACAGCTTCAGTCAAGAGAAACAAATGTCATACTACACATGTCTAAGGTACTCATTGCTGAAGGACTCGGCTACAACTTACTGAGTGTTAGCCAGTTGATGGCGAAAGGGGTTCATCTGGAAGCCGACAGCACCACCCAGGAGTTCAAGCTATACCACGGGAGAGGCGGTCTCTACATCGGGAAGGCAGTACTGAAGAACAACGTCTTCGTCCTCGACTTCGTTCCCGACCTCGGCACTGCAGACAGCGACGCCATTGTGAACTTTGCTGACTGGACACACCCTCCGGATCTCGACCCCGACTTCAGCCCGGGAGGCTTCTGGTACTCCCACACTATCCCTGAAGCAGAACGAACAAGAGCGTTAGCAACGATTCAACAAATACCAGAAGCAGAGGCAACAACATCGGCAGCAGCAACAACATCGGCAGCGGCAACAACATCGGCAGCAGCAACAACATCGGCAGCAGCAACAACATCAGCAGCAGCAGGAACAACGACACCAGTCACAGTCGACGAAGCACCACCAACACCCGCGCAACAGCTGAATCCGACTCAACGTGAAGTTCACCGAAGCGCCAACCTCGTCGCCAGTTTTTACTCCAACTCCGACACATACCAGCGCTCACCCGGACACCGCGCCTCTGAAGAGATCTGGCACGCACGCACAGGACATCCAAGCAACACGGTTTTGAATAACACGATAAGAGCAGGAGTTCTTGACAAAGACTCTCTACTTCTACCCGATGGCAAAGAACTCCAGAAGGCACGAGGGACCTGTCTTATATGTCCCGAAGCTGACTTACCTCATCGACCGTTCGCTCCACATCACAACCCGAGCGCTCCAGCATACGCACCACTCGAAAAGGTATACAGCGACATCCTCTACAATCGCGAACCAGAACAAGTTAACTACAACTACACCATCACCTTCATCGACGCCGCCACTCGATACGTCTGGCATCGCAACCTACCCAGCCGCGACATGGCGCTCGCAGCATTCGCCGCCTGACTACCGATAGCAGAGAGAGAGTCTGGAACACAACTGAAAAGTTTCCAGTCAGACGGAGGTGGCGAGTACACCTCTCAGTGCTTCAAGCAGTTCCTGGCGGAAAGGGGGATCAAGCAACTCCTCTCCCTTCCCTACGCACATCAGCAGCAAGGTGTTGCAGAACGAATGAACAGGACCCTGCAGAACAGCATGCGCAAACTGTTACGTGGCATGCGGCTACCCAACCACCAGTGGCCAGCAGCAATGGACCACGCTGTCATGCTGCACAACTTGTTGTCGTCGTCGTCACTCCCGAACAAGGCATCACCGCATCTGCTGTGGACAGGGAAGCAGGGCAGCACAAAAATGTTACGAGTTTTCGGGTGCATGGTACAGTACAGACCCCCAGAAGCACGAGCGGGAAGATTTTCGCAACGGGCACAGTGGGGACTACACCTCGGCATCGAGAAAAATTACAACGCGTGGAGAATCTTCGATGTCCACACAAAGGAAACAGTAGCAGCACGTGATGTGATCTTCTACGAAAGACTCACTCTTCAGACGTACCTCGCCAACTTGCACGAGAATTGGGACCTCACCAGTGGCTTTCGAGGTGACCGAGCCTTCGCGTCAGCAGCGGACGAAGCAGACTGGGATGAACAGAACGTCGACAACGCCTCGGAGGAAGCCGGACCTCTCCCATACTGCTCCTTGACGTGCCCATGGATGAGGATAATCCTCGCGATAGTAACAACGCCGAAGTCTTCTACCATTTCGCCGACAATGGTTACGTAACACCTGCGACAGTCAACACCAACGAAGCAGAAAGGGTAGGGCCAAATTTCATGCCCGACCCAGAAGCGGGAGACGAAGCAGCTTATCCCGAGGATCCAGAACTCCCTCGATACTCACAGACTGGGCTGCAAATCCTTGGTCTCGTCACCGCAGTCCATGGCGCCGGCATTCCTAAGGAGCCTGCGACGGTTCAACAGGCTCTGGGGGGGGAACACAGGGAGAAATGGCGTGAAGCCATGGACAAAGAGCTGAAGGCACTGGAGGAGCGCAACACCTGGAAAATTGTTCCCATTGGCGTAGCTCAAAACAAAACTATTCTTACCGGGAAATGGGTCTTCCGTGTGAAGACGAAAGCTGATGGCACCATCGACAAATTCAAAGCTCGCTGGGTCGTACGCGGCTTTGACCAGGAGCACGGAAGAGATTACACCGAAACCTTCGCTCCGGTCAGCCGTCACACCTCACTCCGAATTCTCATCGCCGTCGCCGCCATGAAGAAAAAGAAATTGCGACAAATCGACGTTGCGAACGCATTCCTCTACGCACCTGTGGATGCAGAAATCTTCGTCGAACTCCCGCACGGCTCCCACGGCGAACCCAACCGAGTGTGTCAACTACTAAAATCACTCTATGGGATCAAGCAGGCACCACGACTGTGGCAGCAGTACCTACACGCCCGCCTCATCCGCATCGGCTTCAAACAACTTCCGCATGACCAAGGGATGTATCGCCTCACAAAAGGAAGCGACTACGTCCTACTAATCGTCTACGTGGACGATCTCCTCTACATCGGGTCGACCGACAGCATCGCCACGTGGTTCGAAGGGGAGCTTCAGAAAGACCTCACGATCACGGTCTCTTCTACGGTTACGCAGTACCTCGGGCTCAACATCCGCGAAGAAGAAAACGCAATCTATCTAAGCGCCGAGAAGTACGCCGACACCATCGCGAAACGGTTCAACCTCACACCAAGCGCCATCTCCACGCCTTACCGCTACACGTCAGGAACCGAAAAGGGGCAATCTACTCTACTCAAGCCCGCCGGCATACGCGACTATCAGAAGAAGCTCGGATGCCTTCTCTTCGCAGCAGTCACATGTCGT